CCCCCCCCCCCCCCCCGCTTTAACCCAGCCGCGTTGTCCGTCCTGTCCTGTCCTCTCCCTCTCCCACTCTTCCTCTCCCCTCGGCCAACTCGCGCTTGCTGCATCTGCCCACTTTGCTGACCGCAGTCGTTTTCGCCAGGAACAAAATCCTCCTTCTTCCACTCCCCTCCTTAATTTTTTTCTCACTCTCTTCTCTGAATCTCTCCCCATCTAGGCTCAACAGACGAGTAGTCTTGTCAAGGTATGTGTCTTCTCCTTTTTGTTCAAAGCACCGAAGCAAAAATGACGGAAGGATCCCTCGGAGCGATTATCGGCGGTCATCCTCATATCTGGCCAAACCGGGTCGGAGGGGATCTTCTGCTGGGTTTCCTCGCACCAAAGGCCATTGTCGCAAGCATTCTTCTTCACTGTTAAATATTTCCCTTCACTCGTTCACATTTTACTCTGACTTTACATCCTCGTGCAAAATCCCTGTGGTGTGAAAGCAGCGTTAAACACCATCCCAAGCATCTTGACTCTGCGCTCTACCTCGGTGCTTCTGATTCCTCAGTACTAACCCAATATTCGCGCAGAACCCTACTTCTCCCATTTCAAAATGTCTAAGCTCTTTGTTGGGTAAGTCTGCACCATTTCACATATCTGGGTTCCACAATCAAATAAGACTAACTCAGCATAGTGGCCTGGCCTGGCACACCACTGATGAAACCCTCCGCCAAGGATTCCAGGACTTCGGAGTCGTCGAGGAAGCCGTGGGTGTCCCCCTTTCTGCGCTATTGTGAGTCGCAGCATCTAATCAACTTGTTCTCAGGTCGTTGTCAAGGACCATGATACCAACCGCAGCCGTGGTTTCGGATTCGTCCGGTTCGCAACCGATGAGGATGCCGACAAGGCTATGGAGGCCATGAACAACCAGGAGTCAGTAACCTCTCCTCTTTCCCCTCACCCTTTCCTGACCTAGTATTGATCCTCAACAGATTCGATGGTCGGGTTATCCGAGTCGACAAGGCTTCGGAGCGGCCTCGCGGCGGCGGCGCTGGAGGTGGCGGTTTCCACGGCCGGGGTGGCTACAACCAGCGTGAAGGAGGCAATGGAGGTTACCGTGGTGGTTACGGTTCGTCATTCATCCTCCTCAAGGTGGTCCCGAAGTATCAGCTAACCCAGATCACAGGTGGCGGCGGTGGCTACGGCGGCGGTGGTAGTAAGTCTCAAATCCTCCTGAATCTCGCCTCTCAGTCTCACTGATGAAAAGATTATTAGACTGGCGTAGCCCCCAGCAGCAATCATACGAATCGAACCAGAATGCTTGATTGCCTGCGCCGTGCATGTCGACCCCCAGAATCTGTCTTGCCCCCTCTCTCCTTCCCTTTGACCCTATTATTCCATGCAACCCTGCTATTAGTCCCCAGGGATTCTCAGGCAGGGATGTGAATACGAAGGAACGAAGTCCCGAATCTGTTATGACGGTTACCCAAGAATGACTGGAACGATCACTGCCCCTGTTATGCTCCTTTTCTCTTCTTTTGAGGCTTCATCTCTGCTGTTTTGCCCTGGCTGTCTCTCAATCCGGACTCTCCCTTTTTTGCGGTTGCTCTCTTACATCGATGTAATTTGGCCAATATGGGAACTTGATCTTCTGAGCCGATCGTGAGAAATTGCAGAATTGTTGTGCTTTATAAAACTTGGAAAACGCAGGTTTATCTCGGTGGGACACCCCTCAGCTGAGGCAGTCCACCTCGCCCGAAGCTACTAGAGTTTTAGAGTCTTTAAGGGAAGGTATAGTAACCACGGCAGCGAACCGAACGCAGACAGAACAAGAATTCGACGTGAAACAAGATGCTAACTATCCCCGGAAGCTATTATGCAGGGCTCGATGCGTATCGACTCACGGGCATCGCGCAAGTCAGCCGCCGGCTAGCATCACACACAGGCCAGTCGACTTGACGACGCTGTCCAGATATGAATGAGGGAAAATGCAGAGCAGATCTGAAATTATGGAAGCCTTCTTTTTAAGGACTCGTGATGACAGCGCCCCAATAAGAGATCTGCCTACTGTGGAGTAGTGTAGGCCTCTCGGCAGGACGAGCAGTACTTGGGAACGTGGTTTGAAGAGCAGAGTACGCTTTGGCGGGTAGATCTGTGAATCGGTGTGGTCTTCAGGATTCTGGGTTTTGTGTGAAGTCGATGCATACTCGACATTTTCAGGAGTGCACGCTTCGACAGTCTCTTGGAATTATCATATTCATTGGCATATAGATTGTGTGGGCATGCCTGATTGCCTCGGCTGCGAAAGGCTTACCGTGCCCCTGAGACTTGTCCATTATGTCACAACAATGTTGCCATGCGTCGACATGTTAAGAACAGAATACACCCTCATACATAGTACATATCAGAAAAATATCAGGAAAGACAAATCGAATTAGAAATTATCACCAGTAGTGAAATCCGCTCCAGTGCAGTGCAGCAGAGACCGACTAAAGACGATTGAATCTGCAGCGCGCGCAAGCGAGCAAGCGGCACTGTCGGCATTTGTAGATGAAGTGCGGTAGGTTATCGTGGCATTCTTCGCACTGATGAGCGCCTTCGACACGCTTCCAGTTGTCGTGGTCACATTCGTGGTCTTCCTGGAGGTTCTGTGCCACTAGTTGAACTTCCTGCTCGGGTGGGGGGTCGGCTCGATCTCGACCGGCGACGTGTCGAGCTCGGAGCAACAGCCTTGTCTCATCCCAGATCGCACAGGTGCACAGTTTCCAGGTAGAGCCGCAGACATAGCAGAACTCGTACCTACAGCGGCATCTGTGGCAAGAGGGATATCAAGAATGTCAACAATGCGACAAGGGGACATCATAAGAGAGGCTTTGACCTACGTGATATGGTTGCATCCTGTTCCCAACTCGATGACATGGCTGCATCGCGCACAGCGCTGCCATCCCTGCTCAGCTGCAAGGTCCAGAACAGTCTGATCTTCGATCTGGTCATTCTCGCACTCGGTCCCTGCATGTGCGGGCCGTTTACAGAGAGTGCAAGTCTCCTGTTGACAAATCTTGCATGTGCCGATGTAGCCCTGCACCTGATATGGCATCAAGTACTGCCCGCAGCCCGCTCTGGAGCAGTAGGTCCTGTACGGATCTTCCCTCTCAATCAACTTGTCCTCCAGCTGCTTGGCCTGTCGATGGCCCAGATGATCCTGGAGCGTCGATGGAGGAATCGGCAGACGGCAGCAACGGAGCGGCAGAAGCGACTCGTCGGCCAGTGCCTCTCTGAATAGACGTAATACACAAGCCTTACAGTACCGATGCGAGCACGGTGTCTGCATCACATTCTTCAGGGACTGTTCCTCCAAGCACGCAACACACTCAGCCGTGCCATTGCCATCCAAGGGGGGCTTTGCGGCGGTATTGGAAGACGACCCAGCGCCGTATCCGAGAGCAGCTGTAGTGCGGGCGGGTAGCAGCGAGGAGATGTCGGCTCCGTCTATCTGTGCCAGGATTCTGGTGGCATCGTGGGTCTGTTGCGTGGCTAGACGCTGGGCTGGCTGGTTCTGGCCTTGTCGCGCTTGGTTTCCATATCGAAGAGCGAGCGTTCGGTCGGCGAGCGCCAGGCTCTCCTCCTGTACAGCTAAGGTGAGTGCCACGCGGTCATCGTAGGTCGCTCGATCGATGCTCAGGGCCACCTGATTATCATGAGTGGTCGTGGCGCACTGTTGGATCTGGGATGCCCATTCGCGCAGAGCAAGTTCATGATCGGATGGTTCACTGTTGTTGTTCCTGGTCCTGCAGGCTTCGATCTCCTCCTGCACATCTTGGTGGAGCAAACTCAGGATAAGTTGTGCGGAAGCTTCATCCATACTGTTTAAGGTGCTGTTGGTGGGATTTTGAGGAGAGAGAAGCAAGTTGCTTTGCGCGCTGAAAAAGGTTGAAAGAAGAAGTGAGGATGAAAGGCGAAGAAGAAAGATGAAAAAGCAGAAGACAGACAGATGCAAGAAAAAGGACGGTGAGTTTGAGTTGTGTTCAATATGCATTCAGAATGAGAATGAAAGGGGGAACATAGTGGTCAATACTGAAAGTAGTCATCAAGGATACAATTAATGGGAGCAGTGCAGTGCAGTGCAGTGCTGTGCCGAGAGCCTATATAGTCTTTCCTATCTAGGAAGGCACAAACTTTTGGGGTAAGCGACATCATCCTGAAGCAAGCATAAAGTCGACTGCTTGTGAGTCGACCTCATCCTTTTATTCTCTTCTAATCCGTTTCCAAGACTTGTTCAATCTCTGACTTTCTTGATTCTATAGCAACATACTATTCACCTTCCAGTCCCTCTTGTCCTCTCCCTATCTCCCGGCAAATTCTACTCTCCAACCGCATCAACAACTTCGATCATTACCCATGCCTTCCTTAGCTTCGCAACGCCTTCTTCCTCAAGAGACATATGCTAGAGTCGAAGACTGGATCTTGAGAGATGACAAAGACCCGCCGAGATTCTACAAGAAACTTCTTGCAGACAAGACTTCGGTTCGTGCAAGTGAGTCTCCCAATCACGATCTGCCGATATCATATTGATGGAGAATGTCACACTACTACAGCCCAAACAGCGCAGCCCAAAGCTCTCACCCAGAGCAATGCTGACGCTACCCTGCCAGAGGTCGGAGGATGCTCACCCTCCCATCTCGCCGATGCAAAGCCTACTGCACTGCAGGATGAGAAGCTTGATAGATACGAGCGCCGTATGAGGCACAAAACCAAGGATGACCGATATGACTATAAAGAGACCAAGGTCCAGAAGAAGCTCGAACGTCTTTCGAAGCATCTCAGGCGAGCAATCGCCCACAAGTTCCATGCGCCCAATGTGGCCCAAGATCGATTGACGGTAAGTCATGTCCTCTGAGATACTTAGTATATCCCCTTCATACTATAACAATGCTGAATGAGATGCAAGATCAACCATCGCCAAGACTTGGGAATCTTCAAGAAGGGAAAGGCCTCTTCCCCTATCAAATCTAGAGGTACGCTTGTCTCAGACACGCTCGCATATCTCTTACATGTAGATTTTGACTGTGCTCTAGTCCCCATACTTGGCTTTTCAGAGGAAGACTTCCTGGCAGGAAAACCTCAAAGCCTGACCCCTCGGAATGATGTATCTGAGACGTATTTCGGATCGCTCCCAGATCATGACACAGCAGATACAACCAGATGCGAGCTGCAGAAATCAATTCGTCATGAAGATCACCGGTCACAACACGGCACAGATGGGAGAAATGGAAACTTGCTAAGAAATGCTATGAGATCGCCACGTACTGCCTTGGACCTGTCGTCAGACCCCGACTTGGAAAGCCACACTAGAAATCTTCTGCGGGTTAATTTCCGCTCTCCCAAGAAAGCCTTTCCGGGAAAAAGGCTATTAACTCTGGAAGATTTACACCGCTTACTCAGTGAGAGAGAGGTCCTCTGGGACTTGGGGAAGAATGATACTCAGGCCTCGCAACGCAGCAGAATATCTCTTAACAGAGACTTTCTCAAACGCATGTCCTCGTCATCGCCCATGCGAACCGCAACCACTGCGCCTATGCCGCCCAAGAAGATTCAAAAGACTGGAAGAGGACATGCAATTCAGCGGGAGCACCTAGATCCAGGCATCAAGTCTCGAGCTACGATACTATCGGCAAATTCTGGAACGCCTCCAGAATACGCACATCGACAGGAGGAATCCTTGCGGAAAGTCACCAGAGACTGGATCACTCCGACAAAGTCATCTCAACATATATTATCCTGCGAAAATATCCAGAATAAAAGGCCCGATAGGCCAGATTTGCCATATTCTGAGGGCAAGGATGAAGTGTGCCGTCAGGTTTCTTGCGATGCTCAACCGAACTCAATGTTGGTCACTTCAAGCGGGTACAATGAGATCATCGATGACTGCTTCCCATTGAGTCCCAGCAAGGTGGACTATGCTGCCCTTGAAGCTGCGTGTGACGCCATTTTGGCTTCCGAATCGAACTTCTTCGAACCTCTTCAGAAAAATATCAGAGGAATTTCCACTTCAAGTTTCGAGCCTGGAGTTCAAATACGGAGGCCGGAGAGTGCTCTGGAAAGAAAGCCTTCAGCCAGGGATACACATGAAGACACGCAAGGCTACGCAACTGACGATCGGACAAGTTACTACTTGTCCAGCCATCCAGGGGATAGGTCGGCGAAAGCTCCGGCAAGCGATGCGGTGAGAGATGAGCCTCTCTCAAGGTACATTACGACAATCTACAACGGCGGTCTGTTCACTGAGAATGAGATGATGCAAACTCGGGCTGGGTTTACCACCCATGCAGAAGGCTGCTTGGAATGCAGACTGCGACAAGGCCCTGGCTCGCATTGCGAGCCCACAAACCTCCAAATTGATATCAGCGGTGATCTGGAAGGATTTTGGCAGCGAAGGATGTTGTATTGACGGTGTGCTATATTTTGTCAGCTCTTACTCCACAAGTATCTTGTATTGGTATTTTGATGGGATGGCTTTGCATTTATTGAAGCCAAGCTCGGTTATATTTGGAAGTGAGAATGCTTTGCCACGATTATTTGAGGAGATGAGAGTATCATGTATGTATTCCTAGTTTCTGGGAATGATCAAGATCAACTGTAGATTAACATGACCAAGAAAACGAAATAAGATGAAGGGGGGGAAGGTACATCAGAGGGGCTCGCGATGGAATTAGCCTGTGGTAACTTGGAACCAGGGTGTTTGATCAATCAGGCTGTCTAGTCTACCATAACCCTCGTCCTCGAGTAGGTAGCCCCGAGCTGGTTCACTAGGGTGGAATGTATTTTGGCTTTAGCCCTGGAGAGCCCCATGTCAGGTTTCGAGAGCACGGTTAGGGGTCACGGGGACGGGGGGTCATTGTGTCCGTGGGTCATGTCACAAGCTAAGTTACCATACCCTATTTGATGAGGCTTGGCTTTGAAGCTTGATACATCAACAAACAAATATGCCTGAAAATTCTCCCAGTATGCTCCTATCCCCATCATTAATCTAGATGACAAGCTATGAAGTGCAACCCTGGCACATTCATTGAGCCCACAGCCTTGCAGGGAGAACCTCAATACGGCAGGGCTATCCTACCCCTCCTCCACGGCTGAACCAGGCTGCCGTCTGAGGAGAATGATGGAGCGAATCAGACCCCTGACCGATTACGCCAGCTTGCAGGAGAAGGGGCAACGTAGCAGGATTTTGATAAGTGTCTACGGAAATGCATGGGAGGGAGGGTATGCGATAAAGAAAAATCAGGCAGAGAGACTAAGTCATTCAGGCAACAGGCAACAACCGGAGAGTGGATGTGATGGGGCCCATTTGCTGAGTTGACTGGACGATAAAGCCGTCAGGACAGAAGTACTATTCGTCTGGGGGCCCAGACCGTGGACCGGACTGCAGCAGACCTAACCAGGTAGTCGGGTCAAACACGCTTGAAAGGAAGGGTATGAAGAATGAGGAAATGAACTGCACACGGGGCTGCAGGAACCGATCTGTCGGAATGTTTCTGGTTTGTCGCACTTGATTTCCGGTGGGGATTGAATGGTGCTGTAACGCTTCTCTGGGGTGGTCTGGCTGCATGTGTAGGTATTGAGACCCAAGGAATCGTTGGGCAGTGAACTGAGCTTAGGGCTGATGTTGTACGTGGTCCTTGTTGCTTGTTCGTTGCTTTTTCCTTCTTGGCTGATTGGCTTCGAGGATATTTGCAGGAATAGGGCCAATCACTCAGGGAAAATGTTACGGGTTGTCTTTCTCCAGCAATGCCCTTGATAGTGTGAGGTAATTGATCGAAGTCACCCTACCTGTATCGCTCTGATATATAGATTATCAGTGAGCCAAATCTTACGCCTTGGAGTCATCGACGAACGATCTAAGCCACCGCCATATATTCGCAATTCAGATCTGTGAGAGGATGCAGCCAGCCCCCAACTGAATTGTCAACGGCAAAAACTCAGGAAAAGTAAATTCGCTGCCGATCCGGACCCGAGAACCAGGAAAGAACTCGGATGGGGACTTCCTGGCTTGCATTAATCCATGCAGTGTTTCAAGTCCAGGAAGCATATGACCTGGGACTCTGATAGGCCCGTCAGAACTGTCTAGTTCTTACCGTGAGTCCAGGAGGCATTCACTGTGTGTACGCCAAGACATATGTGCAGATTTGTTGGTCTGCTATCACTTTCTAGTTCAGCCAACACGAAAGGCAGCTGAGGGGTCATCCGCTTTGGGGTGTGCAATACTGCTTATCTTTGGTTCTGAGGATATCATCTCCGCGGAGAAGAATGAAGTTGCTAGATCAAGCGTATGTGCACGCGTGTGTACATTCTGTTGTAAAGAGGCGTTGTCGCAGGACATTGTGGCTTTAAGCTAGCTGACCTCATCCATGCCAGTGTCACTCAGGTTATCCCTTTTGTCGGATTAATCACTAGTGGAGAAGCGTCAGAAGTACCACGTACTTACCTTGCATTTGCAAGTCTTTGACAGGTTCTTAGCTGACTTCGGTTGCGCTGCGCTACTCAAGGGGAACTCGCTACGTGGAGAAGTTAAACCCACAAGGGAAGGAGTCGTATGATACAATAACCTTACCACTTTCTTACCTGAAAAGGAACAAATCAACTCTGGCTATCAGTCAACTGTTCCATCATGTCGACTGGTTGCATTGGCTTGCTGCACTATGCTGTGTACATCTAGATCTCCGGCCGGAGGGTAGTTCGAAGCTCGTCAACGGTCTCGTATGGGACATTAGTGAGAGCTTGGCTGAAGGCAATTAGATCAGCTAGGTGACGTGGGGTAGGCAGAGAGAAGCTAATGCATTTGTTTATTGTGTCTTAGGGTTGTATAAAGAGGCACAGCGAGCGATGGGAGGAAAAGCACGGAATATCAAATCAAATGCGAAAAAATGGCCAACAAGCAAGATCCTCCTTCAGCCCGAACGGCAGCCGCAACTCAATGTCCAGTCCTGACTTCACTTCCGGCGCCATTGATTGAGCGCAATCTTGCCATTCATGAGGAACTCACTGAATTGGTTTGCTTGCCCCTTTCCTCTACCTGTCCCTCCTCTCCCTCCTCTCATTATACGAAGCTTGCCGTCTTAGACCTACCGTACCACTAACATTCCACCTCAGCACGCTCACACAGAGTCTACCGTGCCATCATGGATCGACTCCCTCATCGCAGAAGAACGTATTCACGCGTACTACTCCCAGCTCGGCGTCTCGCTCTGCGAGCCCACGGCTGTTGCCGACCATGATATCGAGTCAGATGTGGAGCAGCTCCCCCAAGTCGACTACGCTTCTTCCACCAAACAACGGCCGGATGCCCGATTCACTGTTAGCTCGGACAACCAAGTTTGCGCTTCACTGAAGCTCTTTGAGAGTAAAGTCGCCCTGGATCAGACCAACATCCGCCATGAAACACCGCTGGAGCGCTTCCTCACGCCAGGATACAGCGATCCGTGCTTCTATGCACAGCCTGCACTAGCCCAGGCGGGCATCCAGCTAGGGAGCTTGGAGGGAAAGGAGAAAAGGAAGCGAATGGCGAGGGAGAATGTGGAGCGTGTCGTTTCTAGGAGAGTGGACTCGTCACCCTAGCCCTCTTCTAGAGTGTCTCGTATGTATGTTCTCGATCCTTTTCTTATGCCACCGGAAAGACGTTCTTTCTGTCCTGTAGTACGCCGGACCAGAAATCTCGGTGCATGCTAAAGACTTAGATAAGCCCTAAGTAAGGCTGATATTTGGGGGTATACCTTTCTAAATAAACAAATATGCTATGCTATAAACTCAACACCAAAGATCAGACCAGTTGTCCTCAAAGGAGCATCTCTTATTCACTGGACATTTTTTTGGAGGCGCAAGATATATCCAAGTGACCAAGCCCCTCAAAAAGCATCTGAGGGCCTGCTCCGCGAAAAGGGAAAAGGTTCGCCTGATACCATCGTGAAACTCCTTTCACTACAAGGATAGAATGCTGCAACGGTATAGACCCTCGGATATAGACAGCGCGAGAACCCCTTCCCATATATAAAAACCTCGTCTTTGTTTCCACTACCGCTTATAGAGGGGAGAGAGCCCCCACAGCCCCGGCTCCCTTGAAGGCAGCCTTGTTGCTTACGACCACCTCAACGGGGTACTTCCATTCCATGAATCTCGTCCAACCTGCCAAAAGTATCAGCACCTCATCCCGGAGGCAAAATCAAATCCAAAAAGGAGGTAAACGGAATCAGGGCAACATACTCCAGTAAGCGCATTTCCGGCCCAGATATTTCCCCACGAACGGAACGAACACCATAGTCAGGAGCATCTCTAACTGCTCCAGACTTTCGCGCCATTCCTCCTCCGCGTCGGAGTAATCTGAGAGGGTATCGAGGTCGGAGACGGAGGTACTTTCGGAGGGGAGAGAGGCGATGTCGTCGTCGGAGGCGGAGGAGTAGGATCGGTCGCGGGAGGAGACCATGTAGGCGGAGGTGGTGAGGGAAGGGTTAGAGGCGGAGGGCGAGGCAGACATTTTGACGATGGAAGGGTCGGTGTGGTTAATCCCAAAGTATAGAGTACTAGGTAGCAGGTTGCGTAGTCTCGAGGAAAGGTGTGCGGGGATGAAGTGAGTGTTGGTGTTTATTGGTATCGTCGGAGGTGGTGGTGGTGGTGATGGTGAAGAGAGATATGAAATAGTGTCAATCGGGGAGATTTGCAATCAAGCAGTGGCCTGCCTACCGCCTGATCAAGGAATTCAGCATGAGCCAACTTTGGTCGAATGTGAAGGTACAGCAAGGTATCCGAAGGATAGCAGCGGATAAGGCTTGGAGCTCGGCGACGGTAGTTCTTGTTCAGTGACGAATCGGGTTGGGGATGGTCTGATGTAATCATTCCCGGGGACTGAGGCAGAGAGGCGACGAGGCAGCAAGGCAGGAGCAGTCAGGCAGAAAGGCAGCCAGCTCAACATTGTTGTGGCCTGAGGAGGCGACCGACAGTACGGTAATGTAAATACGGTCCTGAGTCACTGGGTGGCTGTCACGTGAGGGGACCCGCGATAACGAGAATCGCCATCTCGCAACCCAAACCAGCAACAACTCAACGGCAGATCTAAGAAGATCGACCTCATCATTCTCTACGAATAGTATTCTCTCTGTCCCTTGAATTTTTGATTCTCGGACAGTTCTGTTCTGCGTCGTGTTAGACTGAGAACCCTTTGAATATCATAAGCGCCGAGCCAATATGGCGGACACCGTACGTCACAAAGCCCGTTTTCCCTTTACCGATTGCCCTCCCACATTTTCTTCAATCATTTCATACCCGCTGCTGCTGCTCTCCAAACCACCTTCGTCTTTGCCTGCGTCAAACAACCCTCTTTCTTCCCCAGCCCCTGTCGATCACGTGGTGCTGGTAGTCAACGAGCAGTGCTATCCCTGAGAGTTTTGCTGTCAGGGCTTTTTCATCGTTCACTTTCACATAATTTCGGTGCCCCGCTAACCTGTTGGGCTGTCCGGTTCCCCGATTAACAGGTCGAACCCAAGCAACGCAAGTCCGTCGCATTCAGTGAAGGAGACGTCATCATGGATACCAACGGCGAAGTCACAGAGACCCCTCAGGTTGAGAAGCCCGTTGAGGCTGCTGAGGGTATGTCTTGATACCCCTCCCCCCTCCATGGCCGGGATGATTGTCCTGTTCAACCCCCAAAAAATCTACGCGACCGCCTCAAGCTAACACCCTCTCTTCCCCGGGATATAGACAAGTCCGTCGACGAAGTTACCGAGCTCTTCAAGGGCCTGTCGAAGAAGAAGAAGACCAAGAAGCCCAAGGACACGGAAGCCGGCGAAGGCGATGAGGCCTCCCCCGCCGGCGACGGCGAGTTCGACGTCTCCGCCCTGAAGAAGAAGAAGAAGTCCAAGTCCAAGAAGGTCGACACCGATGACTTCGAGGCCAAGCTGGCTGAGGCCGGTGTCACCGCCGCTGCCGGCGCCGGCGAGGAGAAGGAGGAGGAAGTTCCCGAGGGCGACCACGAGGCCGGTACGGGTATCTGGGCCCACGACGCCACGCAAGCCATCCCCTATGCGCTCCTCGTCTCGCGATTCTTCTCCCTCATCCAGAGCCACCACCCCGACCTGCTGTCCAGCGGCACCAAGTCCTACAAGATCCCCCCGCCTCAGTGTCTCCGTGAAGGTAACCGTCGTACCATTTTCGCCAACATCGCCGATATCTGCAAGCGCATGAAGCGGTCCGACGACCACGTCATGCAGTTCCTGTTCGCCGAATTGGGTACCAGCGGTAGTGTCGACGGTTCCCGTCGTCTGGTCATCAAGGGTCGTTTCCAACAGAAGCAGATCGAGAACGTCCTGAGAAGATATATCGGTATGTCCTCATTCCCCATTTTTCCCTTCTTGTTCCCTCTCCAATCCCACTCCGTATCCTCTACCTTTACGAATTGCAACTAACTCCTGGATAGTTGAATACGTCACCTGCAAGACCTGCCGCAGTCCCGACACCGAGCTCAACAAGGGTGAGAACCGTCTATACTTCGTCACCTGTAACTCTTGCGGTTCTCGTCGTTCCGTCGCCGCCATCAAGACCGGTTTCCGTGGACAGGTCGGCCGCAGAAAGAGACAGGGTTAAACGATTCAAAAGCAGGGAATTTAATTTGTTTTTCCCCACCCCAAAGAGGTGCGGAGGGGACAAAAAGAAAAGGGGCGGAGGAATGGAAAGGAAGAAAGAGGGGTTTTGTGCGTTTCTTCTATGGAATCTATGGGTTTTTGTGTGTGGCATGGTCCCTTTCCCTTTCTTTTTTTTTTCCCAGCTTTTACTTTTCTTGCCTGCCTCTCTTTACTTCGTGATGGACACGGTTATGATCTCATATTCCCAACACTTCCCCCGAACAAATTTTCTATCTTCCTCTCATATACAAAGAGCTTCCTTCCTTTTTTAACTTTTTTGATCATGTATCCTCGTTGTGGTGAGGATCATGTCGGTATGTGGATGATGGGAGGTTATGTGGAATGACCGTTAGTCTTTCTTGTGTCTGTTGCTGGTTCGGTGATAGGGAGTGGTTTGAAGGGCTTGAGGGACTGTAGAGAAAAGCAAGGGGAAGTTGAGAATCTGAGGATGGATTCTTTTAACATGGCATGACTAGCATGGCATGGTAGGTGAATGGATTTGGTATGATCTTCTTACGAGAATGACTTGGATTGATTGATAGTATTACTCTACTCGTAGCTATCGAAGAACGATACCTAGCATTATGCGTCATCTCGTCGGGAAGGAAAATCAATACAATGCAAGTGAGTATATTGTCACACTTTAGCAAATTCCCCATGTCAAGCCAAGCCACGCTCAAATGATCGTTGAAAGGTATCAAGGTGCAACATACAAGCGACGACAATCTGAAAGGAAAGGAACCGAAAATGCACACACTGCATAATCAAACGCCTGCTAGCCATAATCATAACAAGTCCCGTAATTTCTCTCTCCGGACCAGGCGGCCTCGTGCGTACTAGGTACCCTTTGCCTGACGACGCCCAGGCAAGAGCTGTAGCTTGATCATCCACTAGCAGTGCTAGCCCCAATCTGCGCAGCAAACGCGTTGACGTTTCTTGTCTGCAAGTACACCGTTCCAGGCCCGGCGAACCGACAGGCCAAACCCTCGCCGGCCGCCAGGCCGGAGATGATGCCCCCCGAGGCGACGCGTTCGATCTTGTACTTGCAGTTCCAGGCGACCAGGTGGCCGTTGTCGACCAGGTACGATTCACCTTCGGGGATCTGGGTCATTGTTAGTGAGTTGATCACTGCAACTTTGAATAGGTAGTCCGAGGGGCAAGAGAGAAGATATTGGTGTGGGAGAGGGGAGGGGGGGGTAAGGAGCAGAAAAGGTAGGTGTGGTTTCTGGCGTGTGTGTGTGGGACCAAAAGAGACATACATCCTTCTGGATAATAGCCCCGAAGCTCTGAATCCAGATGAGGCCCACGCCTTCCATCTTGTAGATGAAGAACCCTTCACCAGAGAACATGCCCTTGGTGAGTGACTGCGTCTGATATTCTTTCTTGATGCCGCTCGTGGAGGCCAGGAAGACATCGCGGCCGCATTTCCACGAGTCAGAGCCGGCGAGCCGGAGGACCATGATATCGCCCAGGGTGGACGGGGCAAGGAGGACCTCGCCAGGGCCGGTATAGGTGGACAGGGAGAGCTTGCCGCCCGCGAGGACTTTCTTCAGAGAGAAGCGCATGCTGCCTCTAAGTGTTACGAGTTCGGACATCGCGATCATGGCCCCTGGTATTATTATTTTGCTTGCTTAGCTGGTGACTCAACGACATTTTCTGAACCGATTGCGTAGGCGTCTGGTTCCGAGCGGACGTGGGCTTACCTGGTCTTGCCTCGATCGGGCATCCCATGGCCAGCTGCAATGTGAGTACAGAGTTCGTGTCCCGGTGGCTGATTCGGTAGCTTCCTCCGTTGAATGTGCCGATTTCGTCCGCAGTGGAAGAGCTTAGGAGCTGGTTGAAATGGAGAGGGCCGCCGGAGGCTCTCTCTGTCTCTACGACGCTTGGAGATGGCTCTGAGGACGGTATTTCCGGCTGTGCTGTATAGCTGGGAGCTGCTTGAGGCGCATTGTTTATCCCGACGTTCGCTGTATAGGCGCCTGCGATACTTGTCTTCTCGGAGAGGGAAGAGGACGTCTGCGCGCGAGGAGGAGGGGGGTAGCTGAACGATGGCGGTGGGAAAGACGGCGATCGTTGCGCATTCGGCTGGTATACTACAAAGTGTCCACCATGTATGAGTCAAGGCTCTTGTCAATGGATAAGGGAACCCATGTTAATCAAGTGCTGGCGTACGTGAAGAAGGCGGAGCACCTGGCGGGGCTGTTCAAAGAGGTCGTATTAGCATCCGGGCTAACTATCGATTCTAAGGCACAGATATACTCACGAGGGAAATGAGGATGTTGCTGGGCTTGTGCTTGGGGTATTGTAGTCGCCATTTATGCTTCTATCGACAATCTGTCGCTTGTCTCATGCAACCTACACTTCAAAAATGGAAGGCAGTTCTTTATCTGTTCATACTGTGAGGTAAATGTCGCAGTTTTAATAGTGTAGATACAGCTCGAGGCATGCGTGGTTTGATTGCTGTAAGCGCCGAGGACCTCTTAGCCTTGCATGCTGATCGAGCCAAACGGTGATCGTGGGCGCTTAGGGCAGTTAGCCTGTGAAGGCTGTGATAGGAGCTGCATGCGGAGGATGGTCTTGGACGAGGGCAGACAAAGGGGGCCATGCGCCCAATCAGTGAAGTAGTCCTCTTGGTCCCTAACCCCTCAGCGTCAATGTTTATCCCATGCTCCGTCCCGACTTGCATTTTCGAGATGCGGCACATCCATGCGGCAGAAGAGCGGGGTAGAAATGCAACCACCGGTGCAGCCGACCACGATATGTTTTTATTGACCTCAAATCGTCGTCTGCCAGTTCGATCGTCTCGCAGCGATCAAAAGTGGGTGGTAATATCAATTGCTCAACGTTAGGCATTAGAATGAAATACCATATTAGCTGGCTATACTTCTTTGAGGGTATTCCTGGACAATATTTGGCACGGTGAGTGGTCAGGAAGGCCGTCTTGGTCGTCGCATGAGATCCGTCTGAGACTCGCTCGAAAGCGTGGCAAATTTGAGATCCACTACATTGACACAATTGTCTATCGCTCTGAAGAGTCCCCTATCAGCTCCAACTGGGGAGACAACGCTTGTGTAGGTGTGGCGTCAAGGACGCAACGCAACACAATAATAAATCGATATGCAGGAAGGATAGAGGATACAGGACGATGATGAATGAGATCTCTTTTGTGTCGAGTTAATTTGTTAGTAACCTAAAAATTCTATATGGAAGCGAGCTTCACGAACCTTTAATGAGCGAAAGTCATAACTGATCATGCTTGATTTCTTCGCATTCGGCTAACGCCAGTAGGTGCTACTCCCCCATAGATCTATCTCAATGATGGATTCTTGAGCATCTGAAATATCCGTATGTATTGTAGGAGACATGATCAGAGCTTTGAAGGGGACTTAATATGAATAGTAGGAAAGGCAGAGAGAACCTGAACAGAAGCGCGCGACAAGAGGGTGGCCTACGGGCAATTGAGAGCAGCCGCCGGCAAGTTAGACTAAGTCATCACTAGCTGGAGCTTCAGCCTCCCTCCAACGAGGCTTTGAACATGGCGCCTACAAGGCTGAGTTGGCCATCCGTGCCTGTTGTATTTGTTCATTGAAAAGGACATGGAGCCGTCGATTTGATTATCAAGGCCCGCTATGAAGTGAATGGTTCCTATTCACCTAACCATGGCGAGACAATTGATCCTGCTGGCTTTGCTCGTCAGCATACCCAGCGCCCGAGCAACGGGGTGGGATGACTTCACCGATGATCTGGCAACAGACTTGGTGAGTGTGTGACAGCTTCTAAATTGGCGACTCGATCGTAACCGTGACCACCCAGGCACCTCTGATATCCCTATTCGGGGATCGACTGAGCAAACAATACCTCTCCGAATCGATCAGCGTACTAGACAACCTCATATTCGCCGTTTCGCCTCTGGGCATTCTCACAGCAGTGATTTCTGCCATCCGCATCTGCGGGAACGCCTCTGTAAGGGCGTTCGTGGGTCGAGCCCAGGAAGGTCCCGGAGAAGCAGAGAATGAACTGTTGTCCTGTGTCTCCGAGACCACAGCGGAACTTTTCAACCACGGAGGTATCTCGAGGGTCACTGGAAGACCTCGAATATTAGAGACCATTGTATGGGAGGAGATAGACCCACGGACCCAGCAGCGCTCGTACAAGATCGGAACTCTGCGGGACGCGCTTCAGTCCGGTGCCTGGGTGGCCGGAGAAGGCCAATGGATTCTTGATGGGAAAGAGTACTTCGCTGAGCTCGACATAGCAAACCTTTCCTTGAACAAGGGAATCGCAAGAAGGAGCCAGGGGTGGTTTTATGCTGCTGCGGCACTGGGGTTTCTGTTACAAGTAGGTAAGTAACGGCCTTCGATTCGTCCTAGGTTGGTAGTATCCTAACCATCGGGTCTCTAGGCGTACTTGCATACTCTGCTATAACCGTTTTCTTATATCCAGATCGGTTTCTGAAAGATGGCAACCCGGTGGTTGATTATGCTTTCCCCTTATTCTTCATGGGTACCATGCTGCTCAGTATTGGGATGTTCTTCTGCGCTTTTCTCATCCAACGCTCCTCCGCAAAATGCTACATCCGCCCGACCGTCCCCAGCAAGATATACTGGCTGCAGCCAGGAGACCAAGATGTCGGAGACCGGACCTTCGGTGCTTATTTGGCTGTCAACGAAGGATCCAGCGCGCAGGCTAGCAAAGACCTCTTGTACATCAAATCAGTCAGGAGCCCCGTTGAATCTACGGAGCAGCCACTGCTGGCGCTCGCGGTGACCACGGCTGTCGTTGGGTTCGTGACCCAATTTGTGGGCTTCCGCGGGCTTCATGCATCGGTGATTCTTGCACAGGTGGGTTCGACCTTCCTGATGTCAATCGTGAGAGCATCCCTCCGGACCAAAAGATCTGGATCAAACGAGAATCGGTTCACGAAGCCAGAGATAGATTTGGTCTCTCATAGAAAGCAAGAGTTAGACTGTTTCGCATTCCACCTCGAAGGCATTCGATCGTTTGAGTTAATGGTCAATGGAGTTCCTGCGTCTCCGTCGCAGGTGCATGTCAATCAGACTTTCGGTACAAGCTCTACCACTCACGGAGCACAAAAGCATGGTTCTGGGACAAGAGCTATACAGACGAGGACACGATTAGCTCAGCTAATATCTGAAGGAAGCCATGATGGCATGAAGTGGGATGATTTGCCCATCAGGCAAATAGCTTGCAATCTAGCGAAAGCGATTACAGGGACGATGGCTTTGTTCTCAGAATGGAAGCACATTATCAAAGATACCCACTCTTTCGACCTTCTGTTTCAATGCCAAGCCCACAATAGTAGCAACAGCAACGCTACTAGTTCGGTCACTGAAAATTACCCTATCAAGCTTGTTAGGTCGGAGGAGACTTTACAGTGGGAGGTTGATATCGTTGCGCTAGAAGCAGTGCTTGGACTTTGGACATGGTCACAGATCAAGACCGACCCGGGATACCTCCAGAGTGGACTTGTTCGTGCCGTTGGGCTGAATGAGAAGGAGGCCTCGGAAGAAGAAGCTGACTTACTGTTCCATAAATGGATGTTCCGCCACATCGAAGCGCAGATGATTCCTGCGAATATCATCAGCTTCCACAACCGACGGTTCGGTTTTCTTCCCAGCACAAGTTCAAACAGCAAGAGTATACTTGCTGTGAGGACCAACGTCGGGATGGAAGTTGCGGCTGCGCAGGAGATCTATATAAGGTTCCTCCAAAGCGTCCTGCGCGAAGTCACGAACTTCGGCGGCCATGTTGAGATACGCGCAGGATCACAGAGCGGGTATATGGCTTTCAGTAATCGCCTGGATTCACTCGCGGCGGTCTTTACAGCAGAGAGGCTGGGGCTCACTGAAGACGCCTTGCTGTGCATTGTACCGACCTTGGAGCATCATAGTCTCTTGCCAAGGCTGGCAGGAGACTCAGAAGGGGTGCAACAATACATCCATAACAACATCGTTGCTCAAAAGTGGACAGAAGCCTTTGCCGCCCTACACTGGCTGTGTGAGCGTTGCGCCGGAGTCGAGTTCGAACATACGTTATACGAGCTGGGCTATCTGTGCCGCCGGGCGATGGTGCACTTTGACTCGAAGACACAGGCGGAGGGCTTCCAAAATGCTGTTCGTCTGCTAGAGAGAGATCCCAGAGCAAGCCTCCGAGCTCGTCTGAGGAGTTCGCGCCCAGATAATTGGCTGGACGTCAGTAGACGCCCTGAGCGCTGGAGCGCCATCTCGCTTCAGCTAGGGTGGCTAGCATGGCACACGGCCGAAAGATACCGTGACAAAGACGCCGTCCAGAGCGCACTCGGCGCTCTCGGGATTTCGGGCGATACTCTGCCCATTTCCAGAGCCTCCGATCAGGACGCCGAGGCCAGCTCCGGCTCGCAGGCCGTCCTTCGGTGGCTGATCCATGGCGACGAGGTGTTCACCCGTGAGTTCCTCGGAGCTGAAGACCAGCTCGCGCTGGACTGGGTCATCCAGAACGGCCATCACGCGCTCATGCAGTGGCTCATCATCCGATGGACCGAGTGCCAACAACAGTGCCCGGGGCTGATCCATCATGTCATCATGTGGGCTGCCGAAAAGGGGTATCAGGATACCATCAACACGCTACGCCGACGCGGCATAAGCCTCAACACGAAAGACGAGTCCGATGACGGACTGACACCCCTGATCAAGATGGTCGCGACGGGGAACCACGCGGCCGTGGAAGTGCTGCTCGACGCGGGCGCCTACATTGACGGCCCTGATGCCCGGGGCGCAACGCCATTGATGGCAGCCTGCCATGTCGGGGATCTCGCGAGCGTCTCGCTTCTCGTCCGCCGGGGAGCCAATGTGAATGCCCAGGCCCGGAACGGCGGCCTCACTCCGCTCCTGGTGGCAACGTCGGGGGATCACCCCGGTGTGGTCCGATGGCTCTTGGATCATGGCGCCCATGTTGACATGGGGTATCCGTTGCTGGTGGCGGCCTCGGAGGACCGCGTGGAATTGATGAAGGTGTTGTTGGAAGGTGGCGCAGATGCGGACGTCCAGACGGAGGACGGCTGCACTGCTCTGATGCTGTCGGCTCGGAACAGGTGCACTGCGGCGATGAAGGTCCTACTGGACCGGGGTGTTGACGTCCGCAAACATATGTGGAGCGGCACCACGGCCTTGGACTGGGCGCGAGACGTACAGCATGCAGAGGCTGTCGAGCTTTTGGAGCAAGCATTGGCGAGGGACTCAACATCACAAATATAATTTGTGTGCATCGAGGCATTGCCGGGTCTATGCATATTCGAGTAAATCGGAAAGCTGCCTAGCAGATTCATTGTAGATTACGATACTGATGTGAAATACCTTCGGGATCCTCTTGTCCTTGAAACACAATCACACAGACCACTCTTAAGTTGACCAGTTGTATTAACTCTGTCTGATCACAGATATTCAGCGCTCCATGAAGCCTATAACCACCTATTCGAAATGGGTCTCACTAAAGCGATCACGAATCAGGGAATTCACAGAGAGTATAATGATAAGAATCAGAAAAACAACCACCAACGCCAATCCCATGAAAATACTGGACTAAAAACAAAGAGCACACAAGGGTGATCCACAAATTCTCTCGGACCCTTTCCTAGAGTTACCAACTTCGACAAACAAACATTAAAAGATGCTGTTCACAATGTTTGAACCAATGGTCGCACCGGCACCGAAGACAGCTAGAGTATATCGTCAGCATTCAAGAATTCGAAGAGTGCAAGCTGATAGAAAAGCATCAAATCTGCTTTCCCTAGACAAAACTCACCAGCATTACCCAGTTTCTTGCCAAACTTCTTGCCGTGTTCCTCGAATTTGCCCTTCTTGGCAGGGTCCCCATCAGGCGTAGAGCCACTTTGGCTCACTTCCAGAGGCATATTTCCATAGTTGGTGGGTGGAGGGGACGAGACAGTCTTCTCGTCAATCACGTCGACATAGCTGCGGGGGAAGATACCCTCGAGGTTGGTGCGCTCGTTACGACCACGCCACCCTATGTTTATTGTTAGCAGCCATAAAGGAATTTCGTCGCCTTTATTGGGGATGTATAGAATCCTTACAATCAGCGTTCATGTGTTCCAAAACATGGATACGGTCACGCGGCTGCAGAGCCAAGTCGCCGGGGTCCGTCGGGGTGTACGCATACAGAGCCGAGGCGATAGACAGCACGGGCGGGGCCTGGGGATAAGCAGGAGGCGGCGGGACGGCCGGGTTGGCGTACGGCTGCGGCGGAGGCTGCGCTTGATATGTCGCCTTCTCGTTCAACGAGGCATTGGCGAATTGATTGACGGGAGGAGAATAGGGAGCAGGAGACGGCTGTGTCTGGATGGGCAGCGGCGCCACTGGCTGCGGCTGCTGGACCGGCGGTTGCTGAGGGGGCACCGAGGATCTACTGCGCTCGTTCTCTTTCGGGAGTTGCGATAAGATCGAGGAGAGTTGTGCACGAGTGATGACTGAGGAATCGGCTAGGAATTCGAGCTCCTACAGACAGTTCTTGAGTCAGTAACCCCAGTACCACGCCGGTTATAATTTGACTGCAGGGTGTTCAAACAGGTGAGGGGATACAAACTAACCGATCGGACGTTGCGGAGCGACCGGTTGGTCACGGCCGAGAACAGATCGCCTTGGGATGCCATGGCAGGCTATGTGAAGCGGATTCGAGTGATTTAACGAAACTGAACCAGGGCAAAGCAATCAAGAATGTGACTCGATTCCAAAAGGCAGAAGAAGCGCTGGAAGAAAAAGAGTGGACAGACAGAAAGATGGATGTGGAAGATGAGAGGCAAATAATAACAGACGAGACGCTCGCTAATGGAGTGACTGAATAACGGATGCATTGGCCGCAGTCTCCAGTTGGTCCCTCCTCTTACTCAGATTTGGTACCTGAGGCCGCTTCCACCCAGCGGCAACGACTCGTTCAGAGCCTGGAGGGAGGGGTGGCCTTAGCCCTTTTGCTTGTCTGATTGGCCCCGCGACAATTAGCTTGTCTTGTCATTCCAGGCACCATTATTATCCGTTCATATTTTCAATATTCAAGGTTACAAGCCCTACCTGGTGCTTGAGGTTGGACGCTTGATGCTGGAAAGGGGCAAATTTTAGGTAGTGCTCGGCAGTCCCACTCAGGAACTGGGGCTCAAGGAAGATGTTGTTGCTCTTCGAATGAAATGACAATGAAATGACCAAAGCCAACATCTGCCAAGGTTCAGGCCGACATGCTCCTCAACCTGTTACTTGGGAAAAGCAGTGTCTCGCTTTTTCTCTTGGCCACACCTCAAATGTGCTATTCTTGGGTCTTCATCCTGTTTGATCTGTCAAAATACTACACTCTTTGCTCCCCAAGTGTATCAAGTTCTCAATCGGTCCTTATTGCACATCAAGGCACTAGTCCCTTATGCATAGGCTACTCGTACCATGATTCAAGTGATCTAGACTATGCTCGAAATAGCATAGGTATGATTCAGCAAAGAAGTATCTTGGCTATTCGAGGTCATATAAGGCGAGCCATCTATCACTGTCTTAGCAGAGTCGAGCAGAGAGCGAGTCCTCGCAATTCTCCTTATTGACTTGCTCAAACCTACAGTGTAGGTTATACGGTTACATACTAGCTAAGTGAAATGCTACAGCCACAGTCATCTGTACATTGACTCTTAGATTCTCGCTAACTCTTCTCTCCCAATACCGTATAACGTTGTGAAGGTTGCGCGCAACATCTGCACCTCTGTCCTCAACAGCCACGGGAAAATCGTAATTGACTGAGTGCTAGCAGCTCGAGCTATCCTGAGAGATACTGGACTCAGAAGGGTTCGAAACACGTTTACGACATCATACGAAGTCCGTTGCATCTTTCTACAGAAGAGTCTCCTTTCTACATGCTTTGTAGTGAAAGCCATTGAAAATAGACCTTATTGTGGGAAGTATATATATCCGATTCGTAAAGATGTAATGCTTCAAAACAACATGTGTATCATCAACTGAGCCACAATAAGCGACAGAGATATATAGGAAAAAGCCACAAAATTAGACTGTAGGCCCGACAAGCCAGAACTCATTCTGCGAGCCAACGTGTCGGAATTGACATGCAGTTGTCCTTCATGGAAACTCAAAGCATTGATTGCTGACAATTCAATCGCAACTTGTGTATTGATCAGATCGTAATACACTGCCATACAGTTGTTTCAACAAAGACAGATCGGAAAGACACAACAAATAAGCGAGAAAGACTCATACTGACTCACAGTCGCAACCTGGGTATAGTTCGAGTATGCACACTGCCTCGATGGATTGACTGACTGTACGACGGAGTTAATAGCCTTAATGGCACATGATGTCAGCAGCGATTAAGCCCAATTGAGATTAGCGCCCAGCGCCCCTCTGACTCCGCCATCCCAAGGGCTCGAGAAGCTTCCGTGGCGGCGATATAAATTCGGCGGGTCTCCAACATCCCTCCTTACAACACATCTCACGCGATCTTTCTCTACCGCCACCTGCTCCTCTCCGCCAAAAAGCACGCTCAACACCATCTTCCCAACAACCCCATTCTCACCACCGTCTCTACACACAAATTCAAAATGAGCGACTGGGACTCCGTTACGCGCATTGGAAGCAAGAACCGTGGTGGCCCTGCCATCCGCGAGACCGTCGTTAAGGGCAAGAGTGCTCTGAACGCCGCTCAGCGCCAGGGTCTCGTTATCGGAACCGAGAAGAAGTACGCCACTGGCAACGCTGTAAGTCATTTCCTCACTCTCTCGCTTCATGGGCAGCCAACCGCCACCCAGACCCAAAAACTTCTAAAAGGTGGGGCAATTTGTTCTGACTTGGTGTATGAATTCAGGCCGGACGCTCCGGTGCCCCCGAGGGCCAGCACTTGACCAAGGTCGACCGCAGCGACGACATTGTCAAGCCCAAGACCGTCGGCCACCAGGTCGCCGATGCCATCAAGAAGCGCCGTACCGACGAGGGCTACAAGATGACCCAGAAGGAACTCGCCACCAAGTGCAACACCACCGTCACCGTCATCCAAGACTTCGAGCGCGGTACCGCTGCTCCCGACCAGAAGGTCCTGAGTGCCATGGAGCGTGTCCTCAACGTCAAGCTGCGAGGCTCGGACATCGGAGCAGAGAAGTTCCCCAAGAAAAAGTAAATTGACTCGGGGGTGAGCCCGCGACTTTTTCTTCCGGGGAAGTTTGCATGAAGTTTTTTCTGTCTAATTTCATCTTCTATCTCCTTAATCGGCCCTTTTTTCACCTTCGAATCGTCTCGGGTTTTCCCTCCATCAAGTTCGCACTTTTTTTTTTATCCGGATGTCACGTCTAACGCACCTTCTTCTCAATATGAGATCTCATGATTCCTTTTTCTAAACCCGTTTTTCTCCTTTGTTTATCTGCTGGTCAGAAGAGCGCTGGCCCGGTATTCAAAGACGGAGTCTGTTTTTATTTTGTCATTCAGAACTAAAGACAAAGACTTTTTTTCCCCCGAATCATACAAATCTGTGATTCTGCTTGGTGGATATTGATACTTCCTGGTTTTATGCATTTACTCGGGCGCGATAGGAAATGTTGCCTAGCAAATTGACCTCGGAATTCAAATGAATTGTTCATGAGCAAGACAAGATTATGAAGCAAGAGAAGCTGGAATCATAAGGTGTGTGCAAAACAGTAAAGTAAAACAAAATAAGGTTTCTTTTTATTAGGACACACCATAGCGACCAGAAATAGGAAATGGTACCAACTCCGACTGTATCATGGAACAAATGAAATATAACTCATGCCCTGGATATCGCCTCAAGGTCTTTTTTTCACGTACCCGCCGTACCGGTCTTGCCTTTCTACTTTTGTGGGGAGTATAGTGAAAGAAAAGATGAAACTTCGCCTCATGACACATACAAAGGATGCGTAACTGGTTTTAAAAAAGATGCATTCCGAACGTCAAAATCGCCCCTCCTTCGCTCTACTTCCGCAGCTGCTCCCGCTCGACCTCGTACATGAAGTCAAAGTAAGGCTTGTCGAAGTGGTGCACACGAACGTAACCGTCCTCTCCGCCGGAAGCGTAGGCAGTACCGGCGGGGTGGACGTCGACGGTGTTGAGGGGACCGAAGTGACCTCTGACACGGCCGATCTCGTCCTCGAAGACCTTGTGGTAGAAGCGAGCCTCGAATTTACCCTGGCGGGCGGAGGTGGTGGTGACATCCATGGCGGCCTGACCACCACCCAGAATAACGTAATCCTTCTTGGGCGTGATCGTGGCGCTGTTCAAGGGAGTATCGGCGGGGTAGGTCTTGAGGATGGCGAGGTTACGGGAGGAGATGAGCTGGCAACCGCGTGTTAACAAGCTTGCACGTGTCATGGAGAGATTTAAATAGGACAAAAGGACACTTACCTTGGCAGACTTGTCCTTGGAGGCGGTGATGAAGTGGCTGCGGTCTTGAGAAAATTGGATGTCGTTGATCTGGTGGTCGAACTCGTGGGCCTGGACGTTCTCCAGCTGCTCACCGGTCTGTTTTCCCGCATGCCGTGTTAGCAACTCATCTGTCCCGATTTCCTCGCCAGTGAAAAATATTCGGTCTGCGCACCTTCTCGTCGTACTGGCTGACACTGCCGTCTTCGTGACCAGCAATGATGTACTTGCCCAGATAACTCCAGCCCGCAACGGTGGCCTTGCTCTCCGTGCAGGTGATCCGCAAGCTGGGCTCATCGGCCTGGTCCTCCAAGTTCTCGCCGTAGCTGATGTCAAGGACGGCGATGGTACCCAAGAAACCCATACGCTTCTCCGTCACGGCCAAAAGTCTGCTTCCGTCGGGGCTGAACTCGACCCGCTTCACGGCCGTAGGGAAATCCCACACCTTCACGCACTCGCCGGTCTTGACGTTCCATAGTCGCACGGTGTTGTCTGCCGAGCCCGTCGCCAGGAGAACCGTGTTGGGGCTCACGTCGACCGTCCAGATAGCACCCTGGTGTCCGTTGTAGGTACCGAGTCTCTCGCCGTTGGCCGACCACCAGGCGCACACAATTTTATCCTTCGACACGGAGAAAAGAAGATCGCCATCGCTGTTGAACTTGATCTGAGTCAGGGCACGTTCCTGCAAGAGTGAAAAATGTCAGCGACCACCATGTTTCCCCATCCTGTTGTTCTTCAAATGTTTTTTGCAGGCGACAGATAAGAGTCTTCCGAGCTGGGAGGGAGGAGGATGGCAAAACGCACATGGCCCGCAAGCAAAATAGGCCTCATCTTGGGCCGACCACGCGATGAATCTGGGGAAAGGCGACGGAATTAAAAGAGCGATGGATCACAGCTGAGGGCGTCTGTGACCGGGAGTCGTATAATACCTGCGTGATGAGGCGGAAATCCTTGCGGGGTGCTGGCGGGCTCACTTCGTCGGCGTCGTCAGGACTAGTTTGAATTTCATCGCACAGTCCGGGCTCGCGCGCCAAGACTTGCCTGATTGAGCCTGTTTTGTCACATGGTGACCGTACCGGAGAATTAGTAGGTCCGGTATTGCTGACTACTATCTCACGTGAGGTGTGCAGCCCTGAGAGCTGTCTGCGAATTTGGCTTAGTCTGTTATTCACGTGATAAAAGACAGCCCATACCCCTCCTGGTCTAGACTACGTGCACTAAGCCTAAGGAAGAAATCTCATTGTCACCCCAGCGTCAGCCTGAGGCTCCGGCGGCATTCATCGGGGAGACTTTTCCATGGAAAACAAAGGCAGCAAAGAACAGAGCAAACAGTGTCGAAACAGCAAACTCGAGGGTGAATTATGATGGAAAAAGAACTTCCCTAGAATAATAGTTGCTTTGCTTGACTGGCAGTTTAGAATCTGCTTCTTCACAGTCTTTCATTTTTTAGGCATTCTACGGAGTCTTGGGCTGCCTGATTCGATTATTCAAGGAGTTTATCGGTGGTTTTCAACCTTTTCCCTATCTGCACCTGAGCTGGCCGAGGAAAGCTGCAGTGGCTAAGAGCTGTGACTCGACCCAGCCCAGTCATCCAATGCCATTCCCCCCCGCCCGTTCGGCTTCGGCGAGTTTACCCCGCTGTGCTGCTGCTGTTGTCAACGCTGAGCGCTCTTATACTCTTTTTCCGATTCAGCTTCACTACCACCCCTTACCTTCCCTCTACCCACGACTGCTCTTCTCAAGACGCGGGGCTAGGTCTTATCTTCGCTGTGCCTCCTCGTCTGCTCATCGCGCCGTGCTAGGTTTCCCGAGGCTCGTCTCCACCCCCTCCTCCTCCTCTTCCCGACGTACCTTCTCGAGCACCCGATTAGCAGCCATGACAGCTACCAAGATCGATGGCACCCAGATTGCCAAGAACATTCGCGAGGGACTCAAGACTGAGATCCGCCAGATCCAGGAATCCAACCCCAGATTCAAGCCTAGTCTGGTTATCTTTCAGGGTGCGTCATAGCCCCTCACAATCTCTCCGCACCGTGATCGCTTGAGTACTGACTTGGCTTGAAATCTTACAGTTGGCAACCGATCGGATTCCAGTAGGTTTTTTCTTTCATAAAATTGGTTTAGTGGTGGAGAGTCGCGGACGCTAACGCATAACCTCAGGCACTTATGTGCGCATGAAGTTGAAGGCTGCCGAGGAGGTATATGCCACCCTGCTCTTACGACTCAACTTATCCTTATGCTAACGGAACGTCTCGTACCAGACAAACATCCTTTGCAAGATCATCAATTTCCCGGAGTCTGTTACACAGCCTGAAGTTCTGCAAGAGATCATCAAAGCCAACAATGACCCCTCGGTACACGGTATTCTGGTCCAGCTGCCCCTCCCCAAGCACTTGTCCGAGCACACTATTACCTCCGCTGTCGCGGACGAGAAGGATGTCGACGGATTCGGTGCTATCAACATTGGAGAATTGGCTAAGCGAGGTGGCCGGCCTCTCTTCCTTCCCTGCACGCCCAAGGCTGTCATGAAGCTTCTGCAGGAGAGCGGCATCGACCCTGCTGGTAAGGAAGCTGTGGTCCTTGGTCGCAGCGATATCGTCGGAAGCCCCGTCAGCTACTTGCTGAAGAATGCTGATGCAACCGTTACCTTGTGCCACTCGAAGACCCCCGATATTGCTAGAATTGTGAAGACTGCCGATATTGTTGTTGCCGCCATTGGACAGACCGAGTTTGTCAAGGGAGAGTGGCTCAAGCCCGGTGCCATCGTCATTGACGTTGGTATTAACTACAAGGCCGATGCTACTCGCAAGTCCGGCCAGCGACTTGTTGGAGATGTCGATTATGAATCCGCTGTTCAGGTTGCCTCTCAGATCACTCCCGTCCCCGGTGGTGTTGGGCCCATGACTGTGGCCATGCTGCTGGAGAACGTGGTGACTGGGGCAAAGGCCTACTTCGAGAAGCAGAAGGATAGACATATTACTCCCCTTCCCATCAAATTGGCCAGTCCTGTGCCCTCCGATATCGCCATCTCTCGTGCGCAGTATCCTAAACCGATCACTCAGCTTGCCGGGGAGATTGGCATTGCACCCCATGAGCTCGAACCCTACGGTCACACTAAGGCCAAGGTCAGTCTCTCCGTTTTGGACCGCCTGTCTCACCGTCGCGATGGTCGGTACATTTTAGTCTGCGGTATCACTCCCACTCCTCTTGGTGAGGGTAAGTCGACCACCACCCTGGGTCTGTCCCAGGCTCTTGGTGCCCACTTGAACCGCATTGTTTTCGCCAATGTGCGCCAGCCCAGCCAGGGTCCTACATTCGGTATCAAGGGTGGAGCTGCTGGCGGAGGTTACAGTCAGGTCATCCCGATGGATGAGTTTAACCTGCACTTGACTGGCGATATCCACGCCATCACTGCCGCTAACAACCTTCTTGCTGCCGCTATCGAAACTCGTATGTTCCATGAGGCCACCCAGAAGGATGGTGCCCTCTACAAGCGCCTGGTTCCTGCCAAGAAGGGCAAGCGCGAATTCCAGCCCATTATGTACCGGAGACTCAAGAAGTTGGGTATCACCAAGACCAACCCGGACGAACTCACTGAGGAAGAGATCCGCCGCTTCGCTCGCCTTGATATCGACCCTGAGACTATCACTTGGCGCCGTGTTCTGGATGTCAACGACCGTCACCTGCGCGGAATCACCATTGGGCAGGCTCCCACTGAGCGCGGTCTGACGCGCGAAACTGGTTTCGATATCTCGGTCGCCAGTGAGTGTATGGCAATTCTTGCGCTGAGCAACAGTCTCGAAGACATGCGTGAGAGACTGGGACGTATGGTTGTTGCCACTTCGCGAAACGGCGACCCCGTCACTTGCGACGACATTGGTGCGGGTGGTGCTCTCGCAGCTCTTATGAAGGACGCCATTAAGCCCAACCTGATGCAGAGCTTGGAGGGAACTCCTGTCCTGGTTCACGCTGGCCCCTTTGCCAACATCAGCATTGGCGCCAGCTCTGTCATCGCCGACAAATTGGCCTTGAAGCTTGCAGGTACCGAGCCGGATGAGGACCATGATGCTCGCACTGGCTTCGTTGTCACTGAGGCTGGCTTCGATTTCACGATGGGCGGTGAGCGCTTCTTCAACATCAAGTGCCGGTCCTCCGGTCTGTCTCCCGACACCGTGGTCATTGTGGCTACCGTCCGTGCCTTGAAGGTTCATGGTGGCGGCCCTGAGATCACCCCTGGCGCTGCTCTGCCTGAAGTGTACCGCACTGAGAATGTCGACATCTTGCGCAAGGGTTGCATCAACTTGAAGAAGCACATTGAGAACGCTCGTCAGTACGGTGTGCCCGTGGTGGTGGCGATCAACCGTTTCGAGACCGACACGGAGGCCGAGATTGCTGTCATTCGCGAAGAGGCCATTGCGGCAGGAGCGGAGGACGCGGTCCCCGCCAACCACTGGGCCGAGGGCGGAGCCGGTGCGGTGGATCTAGCCAAGAGCGTCCTCGTGTCTAGCTCTAAGCCCAAGGACTTCAAGCTCCTGTATAACTTGGACGGCACCATCCAGGAGCGGATCGAGCGGATTGGTAAGGCTATGTATGGTGCGGAGAAGGTCGAGTTCAGTGAATTGGCCCAGAAGAAGGTCGACACATACACTGCCCAAGGATTCGGCAACCTCCCGATTTGCATTGCGAAGACGCAGTACTCGCTCAGTCACGACCCGGCTCTCAAGGGTGCCCCGACTGGCTTCACCGTCCCCATTCGTGACGTTCGATTGGCGGTTGGCGGTGGATATCTGTAAGTTCCCCTCTGTTTAGTTGCGCTGTCATGTGGGCCTCCCACTGAGTGATTTTTAGGTATGCCCTTGCAGCAGACATTCAGACCATTCCGGGTCTGCCCACAGCCCCTGGTTATTTGAATGTGGATATCGATCCCGAGACTGGGGAGATTGACGGTCTCTTCTAGACGGGACGTTGGCATGGGCGAGAGGCCCACTTCAGGATCGGAATTGCGGTCTCTGTATAGATTTCTTTCTCTGTTATCTTCTTGATATATTCATGATTTTGGACGATAAATTTACAACTACAACGGGCGCAGGAGCATTGGAGGGATCTATTATTTCAACATCAAAAGCGTGGCTCATTCATCAGGGCCGGCGTCCCTCAGCTAGAAGGCTAGAGAATATACTACGCCCTCTTCAACATAATAGAATGGATGTGGATGTGGATATGAAGTATTCAGAGTACGAGATCATTATATCATGATACTATGTAGAATCGGTCCAAGTGGAGAGGTGTCAGTTCTACTGCGGCTCTGAAGATGATCTTGTCCGGGTAGCATCTAGCCGAGCACGTGTGAATTCACCGAATCCGGAGGCGGGTGAAGGATGGATGAATCAGCTCTGAGCCGGGGAGTGGCAGGCCAAGTCCGGCTAAGCAGCGATTTCGGTGGTTAAAGACCCGGGCGGAGATTTCTCCGTTGTAGGGAGGGGGGGAAGGGACGGGGGACTGGTTAGAGGAGTAGCCGCGGGAAAAAAGCAAGCGGTTAAGATCGGCTGAGCGGGAGAGGACAACCGTGCAGTACAATAGGTAGTGATTTAGTAGTTCAATGGACGATGCAACGGGATCTCAATAGTACCTTGTTGATTCTCACACAGCAAGGGGGAGGACACATTCCTCCTCCTATCTGTCAAGCAATAAAAGCAAGAATCAGATTAGGTTAGGGAGAGCTGGAAAATCATGGTAGTATTGCCGAGACCCATGAAACGCATATGATGCGACGACTCACACCCTCTCTCTCTCTCTCTCTCACTCCGGGGAAGCTTGCCCAGAGTCCGGCTTCGGCGATGGCCAGGGGAGGGTCATCAACGGTGGGCGGAAAGGGAAATAATGGAGAAATGAATGACTGAACAGTCACAGTCACCAGATGCCGGGGAAGGGCAAAAGGGTTTTTCCTGCTGGGATAAGAGCTGTTGGTTTGCCTGTGCCATCTGACTCTTTTCTTAAATCCCCTCCTGACCATCCTGTTCTTCCTTCTTCCATTTCTTGGGAATCACCTCCAAACCATTTGCCGGGTTCAACCTCCGTTCTGCTCCGTAGTAGATAATCAGTGAATCAGTGAATCAGTGGCCTTGGTAAGTGCAGAGCAAGTTTACTGCCCAGCAAGTTGCAAGTTGCAAGTTGCAGAGGAAGCTCCGGCTTAACGGCAGCTTCCGAACGTCCCCCACTACCACCACCGCCCTCCTTCCATCCGAGCTCTATTCCTCCCTACTCTTCCTCATCTATCCTTATCCCTCGGGTACTCTCGCGAATTCCTTTACCCTAGTTTCCTCCAATTGTCCCTTCTACCGTTACCGAATTGCTAATCCGTGTGGGCAGTTTCCCCGGTTCCTCCCTCATTCCCCCCCCCCTTTCCTCCCCAGATATTCGGAACAATTAACTGCGATGTCGTCTATCCGATTCACTTCCGCTTTGGCGCGCCGTCCCATCGCCGCCGCCGTCGCTGCCCCTCCTCTGTCGGCCCCTCGTCGCTTACTTTCTTCTACCTCTTCCTTTTCTTCTCCTACTTCCTCTCCTTCTTCTTCTCTTGCCTCTGCCCGCTCTCTCAGATCGATTGCATCTGTCTCTCCCCGTGTCTCTACTACTGCTTCTCCCCGCTGGTCCGGTCTTTCTTCCATCAATTTGACTCAATCCCGCACCATGGCTACCGAATTCACCAAGATCAAGGTCAAGAACCCCGTCGTGGAGCTCGACGGTGATGAGGTATGTTGTTCCGGTCTGGTAGGACTTGCATGGGGATCATTGCAAAGCTTTATAGTCGGCTGTGGTACCTCTTCGTCGGAGACAGGCGCGCCATGACGGCAAGGCGCACCTGAAAACGCGGGGCAGCATAGCCGCGGCTGCATTCTCCCATGCGGCCAAGGACCAATCTCTCCGACGATTCAGAGCCTTGAAGAGTTCTGGATCGTAAATCTCTTGACATGTGCTAATATTGTTCCTAGATGACCCGTATCATCTGGAAGGAGATCAGAGAGAAGGTGAGTCTGCCTCGGCTGGGCCCTCCGGGGCAATGCTCTTACCCGTGATCTCCCGGAACTGCATGCTAACTTGGACCCGCTTCTATAGTTGATCCTGCCGTAAGTGACAATTCGTTCCGATCCGGAAGTATGAGACAGTCCAATTGAGACATGTGTGTCTAGTTACCTCGATATCGACCTCAAGTACTACGATCTTGTAAGCCCTTTCACCCGACTCAGCCCAGCTATAACCGGTCATCGGCGACTGACATTCTCTTGCAGGGTCTTGAGTACCGTGATCAGACCGACGACAAGGTCACCGTCGAGGCCGCTGAGGCCATCAAGAAGTATGGTGTCGGTGTCAAGTGCGCCACCATCACTCCCGATGAGGCCCGTGTTGAGGAGTTCAAGCTGAAGAAGAGTATGTTGTGATGGTACCACTCGAGACTTCGGAATTGGACTTGCTAACGAACCTTGTCCTGCAGTGTGGCTGTCCCCCAACGGCACCATCCGTAACATCCTGTAAGTTCTGAGTCACAAACAGGCCCATCCCTAATCTTGTACTAACACTTCCCCAGCGGCGGTACCGTCTTCCGTGAGCCCATCATCATCCCCGCCATCCCCCGTCTTGTCCCCGGATGGACCAAGCCCATCATCATTGGCCGCCACGCTTTCGGTGACCAGTACCGTGCCACCGACCGCGTCATCCCCGGCCCCGGAAAGCTCGAGCTCGTCTACACCCCTGCCGGCGGTGAGGCCGAGACCATCAATGTCTACGACTTCCAGGGTGGTGGTATTGCCCAGACTCAGTACAACACTGATGAATCCATCCGCGGATTCGCCCATGCCAGTTTCCAGATGGCATTGCTCAAGGGTCTTCCTCTGTACATGAGCACCAAGAACACCATCCTGAAGAAGTACGATGGTCGCTTCAAGGACATCTTCCAGGAGATCTACGAGTCTACCTACCAGAAGGACTTTGAGGCCAAGAAGATCTGGTACGAGCACCGTCTCATTGACGACATGGTCGCCCAGATGATCAAGAGCGAGGGTGGCTTTGTCATGGCCCTCAAGAGTGAGTTCTTCAGACTTCAACTGGACGGACGTTACATGTACTAATCAGCTCCCTAGACTACGACGGTGATGTCCAGTCTGACATTGTCGCTCAGGGCTTCGGCTCCCTTGGTCTGATGACCTCCACTCTGGCCACCCCTACCGGTGAGGCTTTCGAGTCTGAGGCTGCCCACGGTACCGTGACTCGTCACTACCGCGAGCACCAGAAGGGCCGTGAGACCTCCACTAACCCCATTGCCTCTATCTTCGCCTGGACCCGTGGTCTGATCCAGCGTGGCAAGGTCGACGAGACCCCCGAGGTTGTGGCCTTCGCTGAGGAGCTTGAGAAGGCTTGCATTGACGTTGTCAACGATGAGGGTATCATGACCAAGGACTTGGCTCTGGCCTGTGGCCGCAAGGAGCGCGAGGCCTGGGTCACCACCCGCGAGTACATGGCTGCCGTTGAGCGCCGCCTCAAGTCCAACCTCAAGGCTCGCCTGTAAATCCTTTCCTTGTTGCATTTTTGAATATTGCTTAGCGTGCGGCTCGTAAGGCTGGTTTGTGATTTTCTAGTTTTTGGATCGAAGGACGACATACCATGGTGACCATATTGTACAGTTCTGGGCTGGGAAGGAAGGGGCAATTGCACAAGCCCCCTGACCCGAATGCAAGGTCAATGATGTAAAGCATCTTTCTAGCTGGAGTTTTTCCTGGACCTTTGTATAAGCTCTGTCTCCGCGTTGTTCCTACACTTCCCATGTGTGATGAAAAATTATGTACATGCCAAACAAATAATGGAATATGCCTGCTGACAATTGATTGTTCCACTCTCTGCTCTTATTTTTTGAGGAACCAGAAATTTCTTGGTTGTTGCAACTACCAAGTCGAAAGCATCAAATCAATTCGGCCGGACTGGGCAATTCCGGCGATGACCGGCCGCCGAACCATGGGTAACACCAAGCGGGAATGAGCTACTATTCACTTTCTTGAGCTTCCCCGCTGGTCCTTGACGCAAGTGAATATGGTTGTTACATGCATATTCTCCCCGCCTTACTGTGGGAGCTCGCCACTGTTAAAATGTTTCAATCTTGGCTTCTTCAATCACTGTACCTATTCCTACACGGCCTCACACGGCCACACACGACCAAATTCAACGCACGGTAACGCACCGACTGCCACTGGAGACAGAGAGACTCTATGCGGCACTCGCAGTGATCGCGATCACCAAGCGGCACCATGTACGCTGTGCCCATTGCGGTCACCTTCCTCTCCTTGGCGTGCTTGGTGGTCGCGCTGCGTCTGTACACGCGGTTGCATATGGTTCGAACGCCTGGCTTGGATGACCTGCTGATCGTCCTTTCGCTGGTTGGTCCTCCTGTGTCATCTTGCACTAGATGTCTGAGCTAATGTGAAGCACAGGCGGCAGACATCGGGTTTTTCGCTTTCTTGATAGTTGGTACGGGCCATCCCTATTGGTTTGCGCTGGAAGGCCAGAAACTAATATTGAGCAGAGGTCCGCAATGGCTTAGCAGAGAACCAGGAACTTCTCAGTCCGAATACTATACGCAATCAACTCAGGGTAACCCACACACTCTCACACACACGAACCAGGTAACTGGATATCAACTTCATGGACGAAATCTAATCCGCAGGAATGAATAGGCTCTGTACATCACGATTCCACTCTACAACCTCAGTTTGACCCTGACCAAACTGTCGTTGATCTTCCTTTACAAACGTCTGTTTCCAACGAAGTACTACCAGATCATCCTGGCCGTCACCTTATTCTTCGTCATCGTCACGGGGATTTGGATGGTGTTCAGTGCGATTCTCTTCTGCATTCCCGTTCGGTCCTTCTGGGACACATCACTGCCTCGGACCTGTCTCCCAGAGGGCGTCGTATGGTGCCTGAACGCGGGATTCCAGATCTCGACCGACTTGCTTCTGGTCATTCTACCGCTGCCCGTGCTGGCCAAGCTGCAGATCCCCAAACGACAGAAGGCCGCACTTATCCTCATCTTCGCTCTGGGATTTTTGTTCGTCTACCTACCTTTTCTACTGGCTGTCACAATCACTAATCTGGAACTTTTGAGTTCGTAGTGTATGCGCGATGAGCGTAATCCGGCTCACGACGATCGTCAAACTCATTCATTCCCCAGACTTTACAGGTATGGTAGTGTCGTCTTTCTGCCCCAGTCTTAAAGAGTCAAATTCTCCATTATGTGACGGAAGACCAAACGCCTAACGTTTTTGGATCAGAGGGCAACGGCCTCGCCGCGACATGGTCCTTCATCGAATGCAACGTCGCCATCATCTGCGCCTGCCTACCGCCGCTCCGCCCCTTCATCATCCGCTTCTTCCCGCGCCTGATGCCCTCCCGCGCGCGCTCCTACCACCCGCGCGAGAAACCGTCCCGCCCCAGCGGCGGCGTCAGCATTGTCAGCCACGGGCACGACAACCCCTTCGCGCCGTCCAGCACGAGCTACGTCACCAGCGTCGCGGGCACGTTCTCGATGGAGAGTCTGAGTCTTGGGGACCTGCAGCATCCGCAAGCTGTGGACGCACCAGCAGCGCATGGGATTCAGATTGTGCAGGAGTTACGGTGGGATTCGTTTGCGGCGGAGGAGCGGCGGAAGTCCGTGAGGTTTGATGGGCTTGATCCGGTAATCGGGGTATGATATGTTATGCTGTCGGTTTCTTGGAGTAGTTGTCATGGAATGGAGTTGGTTTATGGGTTGGTTCGATGATACCTTTTGTTTCTGACGGGATTGGGGGGGTTTGGTTGGTTAATGCGCAGGGAGTGAACCTGAGTGATGAGGTCTAGACTTATGTCTCGAATATTGGGAATCGGGGCGGGATAGTGGAAGTGGAACAAAGGCCCATAGATGCTTTACGGTAGATTGTGCATTGGATCGGTCAGCTAGAGGCTGTCGTTGACCGTCCACTAATCCAGAGGATTTCTCGGTGGCCTCAGACCTGGTAACTCTGTCCCTTCGGGCATAGGCACACACACTACTCTGATGCAATTGAATCCTGTCCGTGCTGGGTGGAAGCTCTTCGCTTGAGTTCTGTCAGGACATCTTGTCTCCCGCAGATAGTTGATGAGCTCCATCTGGCTTCAACCCAAGATGAACTGTATACCCGCAACTCTGCATCGCAAACATATCTCAACCCGATCCAATCCAGAAAACACACCCCCTGCCCCCCCGGCCAAAAAAGAGCAGAAACCAACCCATGTGCTAAGAGCAAGCATGCCAGCAAAAGTCCAATCAACCTCTACCTAGGTACAGTACCTTTATCTCTCACCTAATCCCCAATCCACCGCATGCCTCCCTTGTACCCAAGAGAGTTCCCGCTGATGCAAGGATCCAAAAAGACCCCCTACCCTCCCCTGCCTTTTGATGTACAGTACAGTACGCAGTACGCAGCACAGCATGTATGTAGGTATGTAGGTACCCGATAGTCCAGTCCAGTCCATCCCGCAACACCGTTTAATTATGATCCGCAGGGTCTAGATTTTGAGGTGACCTGTTTTCAGAAAGGAAGATGGAAACGGAATGATAATTTCACTAGTGCTGCTGCATCTTGGGGGTGAGACCCAGACCCAGGTCAATTGAGAATGCTTATAAGGATCGACGGGGTTTATACTCTCTCTCTCTACTCCCGGAAACTTTACTCCGTAGTTCGGACCGGAGGGGGAAATGAGCTTGGCGGATAGGCTTGGATTGAATTGAATTTACCCGGCCGGGGGGCCCTCGGGGAGCCGTTGAGGGTCGGGCGGTGTGTAGCAGGCTAGCTTGGCTGCGGCGGTGGCTGCGGCGGTGGCTGCGGCGGTAGTCAGTGGATTCTGCCTCCATCTACGTACGGAGTTATCAACACTTCATAACTACCAACTGTACCGACTTACATATCAACGTCCATCTACTGACCATCCCAATAACAACAACTCCCTCATAAACTAGCCCACTCACTCTGAATCTAAATATCCACAACCCAATAAAGCCAAAAATGCCCTCCTCCTCATCCTCATCCTCCTCCCCAGTCCTCCACCTAACCAGCTCCATCCAGATCCACGCCCCCCTCGACGCCGTCTGGTCCGCCCTCACAGACACCACCACCTGGGCCAAATGGAACCGTTTCGTGCCTGGCGTGACGATCCGCGCGCAGCCCCCTTCTCCCCTTGATGATCACACTACACCCGCAACCACAACCACACCCGCACCAGAAACAGAAACAACTCCTCCCACCACCACTCAACCCTCCCAAACACAAACACCACCACCACCAGCAGCAGCTGGTGGTGGTGGTGGTGCACTCCAAAAAGGCACCCGCATGACCTTCCACGTGAACATGCACCCATCCGCCGCGTCCACGGCGCCGCAGTCTTTCCGCAGTGTGGATAACCATGTTGGTCTTGTGGTTACGGAGTTCCTTCCGCCTTCGCCTGCTTCACACCCAGATAGCCATGGGGATGGGGATGGGGATGGTAGTCCCCGGCCTACTTCTACAGCTACAGCTACTTCTACAGCTACACCTACGGCAACCCGCAGAGCAAGAATCACCTGGGCGAACGATACCGCCTTCCAGGGCCGGGTGATGGCCGCGCTTCTGTCGGCGGAGAGGGTGCATGAGCTTGTGGAGCGGGAGGTTGTGGATGCCTCCTCTGGAAGTGTGAGGGTGGTGACGGAGGTGACGAATTGGGAGGTGCAGGAGGGGTATCTGGCGTATGTGGTCAAGTGGATGTTTGAGCGCCGGTTGGAGGAGAATTTCCGGTGCTGGGTGGAGGATCTGAAGGGTTTCGTGGAGCAGCAGCTGTAGCTGCAGGGGAAGAAGGGTTTGGGAAGGGGGAGCGAACGGGGATGCTTGAGGTGGTTTGAGGTGGTGTGAGGTGATATGAAGTGAAGGTCAAGGTGGTCGGGGAGCGAGATGGTAAGTACGTCTTAGGGTAAGTGGGTAGGTAGGTGGTAGGTTTTGTATATCAGGAACAAGGTCTGTAAAAGGCTCTTTGGGTCACTTGGATGCCTTGTCTGTGGTGACATCATGCTTGAAACCGGGCGGGTATACGTTTTGTCCTTGCTTGTGGATGGTCGTTGTTGAGCTCCAGGCTCCAACTTTTGCTCCAGCTTCAACTCCATCTCTCCCGGACATCCGTAAAGGTGGGGATAAATTGGCCAATGCAGCTCCCTAGCTGGCCCAAGCGGTCGACCAATTCGTATTCTAATTCAACTACCACGATAGCACGGCGTCTAACAATGCTATACGAGGTAAGCTTTGATGAAATCATATTATATCAGTTGAACCCCTACCTCGTATTTGCTTGTTTACGACCAGCCCCCCTGCTATTCCAAAAATTTCTACTACCATCTCCGATGTCGCGTCATTTGCTGGCATGCCCTCACTGCGCTGCACTTGACCACGCTATAAATGCAGCTGGGCAGGGAGATCTGGAAAGGCTCGCACGCAGATCTCTCCCTTCCCTGTCCTTCCACAAACAAGAAAACCACCATGTCCGGCAGCTCCACCCTCCTAGCGGCCCTTGCTGGCCGACGCTCCTACTACGCCCTACGTCGCGAATCCCCCATCCCTGACTCCAAGATTAAATCGATCCTCAATCAAATCGTGCTGCAGACCCCCTCGGCGTTCAACTCTCAGACCACACGTATCCTGGTCCTGCTGAAACAGGAGCACGGCAAGCTATGGGACATCGTCAAGGACTCCCTGCTCACCCGCATCGGGGCTGAGCGGTACCAGAAGACCGCCCCCAAGATCGACGGCTTCCGCGCCGCTTACGGCACCGTGCTCTTCTATGAGGATCAGACCGTGGTCGCAGACCATAAGGCCAAGTTCGCATCGTATGCGGAACACTTCGAGGCCTGGTCGGAACAGACCAGCGGCATGCATCAGCTGATTGCGTGGACGGCGCTCGAGACGGAAGGGTTTGGCGCCAACTTGCAACACTACAACCCTATCATCGACGATAAGGTCGCGAGCACCTTCGAGGTGCCTGCGCAGTGGAAGCTGCGGGCGCAATTGGTGTTTGGCGTGCCGGAGGGCGGACCACCACCGCCCAAGGAGAAGAAGCCCTTGGAGGAGCTCATTCGCGTGGTGGGAGATGACAGTAACTGAGGGGTAGCTCAACTGTGATGACTCGAAAGGGATCTATTTTTGGCGTGCGTCGAGGCGGGGTATCGGGGCATTGGGGCTTATCTGGTGTAAATAGTGTCCGTCATCCATAGACTTACTCTAGAGAAGGCAACGGGACGATCAGGAATGCAACTGATTTGATGGTTGAGAGAGTGATATGCTCGAGTAGCTATCGCAGACATGGGGTTGGCGACCGTTAGCCTTGGCATGGGGCTGTGTTCCCGTAGATCTGGATTGCGATGCTCTCTGTCCGAAAGCCACAAGTGACCTGTAACCGAACCAGAGTGCGCGATGCGCCATCGTGGTTGCTTGTTACTCCATCCCTGCTGCGGCGAAAGGCCGCGAATTCTCCTTGAGGCGAAACCTCGTCTGGTGATCTGGGAGCGTCCAACTTACGTATTGTACATCGTCGACAGGAAATTCATGGATTGATTTGCCAAAGTGTCTGCTGGATTCAGTGCGTGGCCTTGACACCACATCGGTCGGTCTTGCGGCCGAGATTGATTTGGACCGATATCCTGAGTATCGCATTTCGAGCGAGATCACAGGTAGTGGAACAGTGGATACAGTTCGATGGCGGGCATGAATCTCTCCGGGCCAGGTCGTTCTGCCTCCCCATTGTTTTTGGTGACCCAGAAAACAAGTCCGCCCAACCTACCGTGTTGGGAAGGGCGGGTGGAGCGCGTTTAATGGCGGCCAATTTCCATGAGTCCATGGCAGATGAGGACCCACGTGGGGGTGGAGATTGGCTGTCGAAGCCGACCACTTCCATTGATCATTCGGCGGCAATAGACAGGCCTCGAACGGAGGGATGGGTCGGGTGGTCGCAAGGAGATACTGAATGGGGGAGGGATGGAAGTTATTTGTCTCCTCTTTCTCTTCAAAGGCTCATATTAAATCTTGTAAGCACACGACTGCCGGGGAAGGCACGGTGCAGATGCGCGGTAGGGACGGAGATTGGATGGTCTGCAGGTGAGAGGGTAGCGTGCAGAGGATAGAGCAGTCGGAGGTCGATGCGCAGGACGGGGGCGTCGAGATAAGATCCCTGGGCTGGGCCGGATGAAAACAAGCAAGCACTGATACTGGTCGGACACTAGTAACGATACTATTGGAACAATCGTTCAACCATTCGGATCCTTCCTCCTGTCATTGATATGCGGGCTTTTGGTCTGCTTTTATGTAGGTCACCGTCCCCGACGAGTAGACTAGTGCAATTGTTGCAGGTTCGAGGGTGTTCGTCATGGCGTCTGCGGTAGAGAGCCGAAAAAAGAAAGGGATCAGCAGCAGATGATTAATAAAAAAGCGAAGCATTGAGGAAGGAAGGAGGAGATTTGACAGCGGGTTCAGGGTGGAGTGGAGAGGGAGAGGGAGAGGGAGTGAGGACGGACGAACTGCGCGAAATGCTCGTTCTTCGTCTCCACCGGATTTGCCCACTCCAGCCAGCCGTCGAATCCGAATGAGGTATAGTGTCCGTAGATGTACTTCTCCCGGTTGGTTTTTCGGTCTTTTTCGGTCTTTTTCCGTTCATTGTTCGATACTCACGGCCACTTCCGGTGGCCTCCAGAAGGAGTCCAGGTACAAATGAGGTACAGCCTCGTATCCTTGAGTTGATCCTCGGAACGGAGTAGTTCAAAACTCATCTTCATACTTAGAAGAGCGAAGAGAGTGGATTTTCAACTTCTCCATACTCCATAGTTATCCCGAGTCACACAGCACAGTCTGCAACAACTGCGGGGACAGACAGAAGAAATTGAGGGAAAAATAATAGACCCAATAGAACCATGTGGGGAGTCGGACCCTCTCGACCTCTTTACGCCTTTACGTCTTTTTCTCTTAGTCTACTTTATCTCTATGTGACGGTAACGGTAGCAGTTGCAATCCAATCAATCACTCAATCACTCAATCAATGGTCGAGGGACGCGCGGTGACGGTGGAATCGATTGACTCTGCCTCGTCTGTTGCGGCCATGGTTCTGCCATCACAATTAAGCTCCTTCTTTCCCCGGTCGATCCTCTTTTTTTTTTCTTTTCCTTTGACTTCCTACAAATCATAAGAATATTAATTTGGTTCTCTTCTTTTTCTTTTCTTTTGCCTCTTTTCTCCCTTGAACTTATTTTTCCTCCTCTCTTCTCTCTTTCCAATTCCCATTTTTCCTCCGTCCTTCATTCCTCCGATAATGCCTATTCAACTTCCTTGGAATCAAACCTTGCAATTACTTGACTTCCTCTGATCGCCAACACTTGATGCTGAAGTGACTCATTCCGTTAAATTCCCCTTAGATTCATTCCAACCGTTCTTCATTTGACTTTCCTTGGACACCCCGACGTCATCTCGACGAGATCGCCACCAGTCATCTTTCGCCAAAACTATAGCACTGCAGCCTATAACTTCTCCATCAGCCCCATCTCTGCAGTATCTGCAGAACTATACAAGAAGAGGGTCTTCCTCTTATCTATCTACCACCGACTCTCTTCTGATTCTACACCGAAGCTATATAAACGCTTAACATTTCCTCAAGTTTCCCCCATTTGGCGGGTTCAGATAGTGATCCATCCGAGTCGCCGCTTTTGCCGGATCCGTCGCATTCGGATCTCTGCCTCTTCAACTGCGACCACAGAAGAAAGGCTCAATAAAGATTATTTCGTCATGGCGATCACGCACATGCCTGTTCGGCTTTCCGTGTGTACTCAGCCTGAGTATGAACATACTCCTCACTCGAGCGTGCTGCGTGGACTTACTCCCCCGGTAACGCCCACCATCGACGATGACAGTCTCTCCGGCAGCGAGGTTACCGTGCATTCCAATACCTCCAGCCCCTTTCTCTCCCCGGTGGATGCCAAACCGGAGAAACTTAACGAGGAAATCTCCGATACCAAGCACTTTACCGACGATCTCGAGTACCACTACGACCCGAGAGGACGCCCGGTCGAATTTGGCCGTGGCGTCTGGAGCGTTGTATACAAAGCGTCCTCTTCTCCTGCCGTCAAATCAGGTCTTTTGACCCCTCCGAGTTCCCCAGCCGTCAAAGGCCGGGTGGTGGCTGTCAAGTCGCCTGTGAGGCGGGATGCGCATTCCGTCCTTGATGCTGAAGCCCGCGCACTGACCCGGATCAGCCGCGTAGCAGGCGCGGAGAACCATGCCGTGCCCTTCCATGGGTACATCTCCGAGTCGCATTCCATTGTCATGTCCGCCGTGCCGCTGGCGCTGTCGACCTACATTCAGGACAAGGCCGCCATCGCACAAAAGACCCGGTCCACGCAGACCATGTTCAACCCGGTTCAAGGCATGGCCCATTGGCACGTCTTGGCGGAAAAGCTCATTGCTGGCTTGGCCTGGCTGCACAGTGGTCCGCAGATGGTGCATGGTGATATCAAACCCCACAATATCCTGCTGCGATTACGTTCACCCAGTGGCCAGGATCTCGACTTGGAGTCGGACTCATTCCCATACGAGCCGCTCTTTGCCGATTTCTCGTCGGCGCACCCGATTGCCAGCCCCTCCTCACCCGAACAGTGCAGCATGGGCACAGCCCTAACCGCGCTCACGCCGCCATTCGCGGCCCCGGAATTACTCTGTGTCTCCTCCTTGACGTCACCGGATGTCGCGCCCACTCCCGAATCTGATGTCTTTTCCCTTGCCGTCAGTCTTCTCGCCGCAGCCACGGGCGATCTTCTTCTCTACCCAGGTGCCAGCAATTTACAGCGCCTGGCCATGGCTCGCGAGGGTCATCGGGTGATCGACTTCGCCCGCTCGGGCCCTAATGGTTCGCGCGTTCCTCGCGCGGGAGTTGTCGAGCAGATGATACAGCCTGCCATCGCCAAGGATCCGAGTCAGCGCATCCACCCGGATGACTGGCTGCACCTCACTGAATCCGTTCACTGATGATGCCTCCGTCACATCCTCCATCGGACAACCCTCAAACTTATCGGTCTTTTTCAATGGACCGCCGGCCATTTCTTGATTCTCTTTGGCCATTCTTACTTTTCCCCTTCTATTTTCACTCTTCTCTTTCTTCTTCGTTGACTTGGCCGGATAACCTTCTTCACTTATCTTCTTCTGCCATACTTTCAACATTCTCCGCCACTTCTTCCCTTCGCGGCATTTTCACCAGCGCCTACGATCGTTCTAATCTCTTCCCACTTTTCGATTTGACCATACAAACTATAAAAGATACCCTGTTTTAGATTTTAGATCTGCAAGGTCGACGATACATTCCGATCTTTGCGCCAACTTTTTCTTGGTCTTTTTTTTTCTATCACCTTAACATATTCTTGGCATGATTTTGGTCCTTCGGGTACCCTGTTTCCATCATTCGCTAATATGTACTATTCATGATTCCATCATGTCTATTGAAATATACCTCCCCTGCGGAGGGGTCGGTTTTTTGATTCCTTTTCTCTATTGGTATTGTAGCCTAATTCTATGAGGCGGCGATGCCAAGTCGTCATTTTGTACAAAAGCCCGTTCTTCCATGCCAATCGCCCCCCGTTGGAGGCTGCTGTGCAGTGCGGACCGCGACAGCATTTCTAGACCGTAGCCACAACAGTATATAGATGCGTAGATGCATTGGGCTGATATATCACCGGTAGTTAGGAAACCATATATAGAGAAACCTAGCGGGTGTGGAGATCCGCCTAGTCTCTGCAAGGCGATGCTCCCCAGCCAGCCCGCCTGGGGCCGGGTAAGGGGCAACTCGAGTCTGCGTGCGTCCTCCGAACACAAGCCGGAGAAGACTGTTCGGCCGTTATCCCTGATCGTGGGATTTCGAGTTCCACGGCAAGTTCTTGGTTTGTGCGGAGCGAAAGCCCGCAGACTTCCGAGAGCATTGGAGGTTTTGCTCTCGAGTCGAGTGTAGTTTGGAATATGTTTCGAGAGAGGCGAGAGAGTGTCGATGAGGGGAAGATGGTCTCTTCTCGTAGGAATGAAGAGATCCCATGTCAAGTATATCCACAAAAGGTATGCCGCGGGCCAATCGGTCGACCAAGTTCGGGTATGCTGTGGTGACGGCTCAAGAAGATATTTATACAGTATAGTATACAAGGGATCGATGTGTGAGGTTCCGCAATAGTCGCAATACCTCTTGCTCGCGCATTCTCTTTTCTTATGAGCATATCTTCTTATTTTGTTGGTTGTTCTTCGTTAGTGCTTTCCTATTTCCCAGACGCTGCAAGAGCGGACTCAGTTGAGTTTCTTGCCCTTGGTAAGATGAGTCCCCAGTCGGGAACCCGTCAATGTGGCGCCGAGGGCTCGAGCGAGCGACCGGACTGACTGACGGTGTTCGTAGTGCGAGTACTCGATGCAGATGTCCCACAGCACCGGGCAAGGGATGATGTGCACGCGCACGTCGCTGACGTCGTAGTCAAGGTTCTCCTGGAAGCACATGGCGGGGTCCAGCTGCTGCGCCGCGGCGCCGTTTTTGTCAGCAGCGGCGCCGGCACTGGGTTTGGCGATGAGGGTCTTGGGCAGGGCGTCGAAATCCGGCTTCGGGGTGCGGACGGTGTGCTGCGCCAGGCCGGGAATCGCGCGCACGCAGTCGTTGATCGATCGGCCGGGGAACACCAATGGTAGCATCTCGCCGAGGGTGAGATCGGTGCGGCCGCGATACAGGGAGAGGGTGAGGATTTCAAAGAGGTCGGCGGCGGCGGCGCGCGTCGCGGGGTCGAGGGAGAAGAGTTTGCGCGCCACGGGCGAGTTGGGGTCGGGTTCGAAGTAAAGGATGCTGCGCTTTTCGCCCTGGGGGTACGTCTCGTTGGCCTGCATGCGTAGCGGCTCAAAGGGCCGGCGGTCCCAGTGCAGCAGGGCCGCCCTGTCGCCGGAAGCCCGGGAGCGCATGTCGTCTAGCATATATCGTAGCGCGGGCCGCCATTTGGTCTGGACTTTTTTGTAATGGGCGTCGATGACTTGCTTCAAGGAGGCGATTTCAGAGAGGAGCGGCTCGAAGTCGGCGCGCGTGGTTGTCGGGCGCGCGGCCAAGCGGGCCACGTTCTTGTACAGCTCATCCAGCTGCGTCAATTTCTCGACAATGAGCCAGTTGAGGCCGTTCGCTCGGTTTTCTGAATTGATCCGAGTGATTGCGCGACCGCGGACCTTTCTGGCTGCTTCGTAATCCGGCGAACTCGATGACATCTTGTCAATCCTTTCGATTTCCTCCAGCAGCTGCGAATGGAGATCGCTCCGGATGCGGGGCTCGTAACAATGCTTTTCGGGGTCACGAGCGAGATGGGAGAGGTCCGGCGCGGGGGTTATAGGGGATGGCTCACGGCCCGGAATAGGCAGGAAACCGTTGGCCGATGCTTGTTCTGTGACACGGATGCGTTCCTCTTCAGCGTACTTGATACCCTTTACGTTGGCCCAGAAGCAAAGCTCGTCGTGTGTGGCAACCGTGACGTTGTGCAAAGCGACGTTCTCAGTCAAGATCGCGGCGCGTTTGCGGTCGCCGGGCTCGTGGGGGATTATGCCGCTAAAATCATCCTGAGGCAGTACAGCCAACAGGCGGACGGCACCGTATGAGTGCAAGCCTTGTTGCCATAGACAGGTTTCCATAAAGGAAGAAATCCATCGGGTTGTAGTCATGTGGTCTTTCGGCGAGGTAGGGCGCGTCAAGTTGGCGACCACCAGCAAGTTGGGATTGCAAGGTAGTGCCCCGCTAGTATCGGCATTCTCAGGTCCCTGCTCAGGAAAATGCTCTTTCAAAAGCTCATCCCAGGCGGAGAAGGAACGAGGGTTTGTGTCAAGCAATTTGTAGCCCTCTCCCGCCTCGGTTAGAGGCTTCAGGAACTTTTGCCAGACTTTTAAGTCCGGCTCCAACATAACATGCCGACGCGGACGAAGGAACTCGTTGACTTTCGATGAGAAGAGTCCGCAACCTGGCCATAAGTCGAGAATATCCGTGGGCGCATTGCGGCGAAGGAAAGGTGCGAGGCGCTGCATAACGTGGACTAGAAACACTCCATGATTAGCGTCGACTGGTACCTTACGAGTCGAGTGAAGGCGCAACTAACCACCAAGCTCTTCACTGACTATTTCCGGCTTCATCACATGGCGTTTTAATCGATTCTTGTGGAGATGATCGAGAATAGCAGCAGCCATGGGAAAGGTAGAGTCAGGGTCTTTCCATCGGTCTCTGCTCACCGAATTTTTCGTAGTTCGTCTTGCACCCATTCCCACCGTCTTGACCGGGAATTTTGTCGCCATTTTCGAAGGTGTTAAGGCGATAGTAGCACAACTGCCTGAGCCGAGTGCTCATCGCCAGAAGGGGCGTTATGATGCTGGTTGCGAAAGTGGAAGGAGGTTATGCAGAGCAGGGACAAAAAGAGTGAAGAGTGAAGAGCGTGGTTCGAAGAAATGCGGCGGAGGTTCCGCTCGCCGCAGCTTTAAGCTCCTCACCCACTAACGTTAATTCATCCATCATCTTATCTCCTCCGGCGTTCAAGCCGCTGCCTCTTCCGCCTCTCCTCCTCTATCCATTCCCTCCAAACATCCTCCTGTGGCAACCGAGCCTGAAGGAGTATGAACCACAACTCCAGATCATTTCTCCAAAGCTCAGCCACTCGTTGACCCTCGTTTATTGTACTACCAAGGACAGACGCTCGGTCAAGATGACCGCCCATCTGCCCCCAACAGCCGGTGCGGGGGTTTCACCTCCACAGAGCGTCGAGTCGATCACTCGCTTGGCTCAGGATTATGAATACAACCCTTCCATTCCCTTACGGTACTGGCTACGGACAGCCTCGACACTCATTAGAGAGGTACGGTATTCTTTTGACTATGCTAGCGCCGAAGTAATACTAACACAACCACCCCCGTCGTCGTTGGCAGGCTCGCATCTACGAACGAGAACAACACGAGGAACAAGCGTACCTACTACTGTTTAGACATGCTCAGCTCGTGCTGGTTCATCTGGCTGAGCATCCAGAGGCCAAGGATGAGAGTAATCGCAAAGCCTTGGTGGAGGCGGAGAAACAGGTCAAACGAAACCTGAAGGTTCTCGAGACCTTGAAGCCTCGCATAGCCAAACGCTACGAACGTTACCTCCAGTTGGTGCGCGAACGGCAGCACCGCGCCTCGGTCACAGCCGTCCCTCCAGACATTCGGCGACAACTGCCTCAAGATCCTGCGCTAGCCGGTGTTGCAAAACCCTTGGAGGCTGGAGAGAATCGCGACCTGGCCGTGAAGCTGGCCCGCACGGAGATCAGTCGCAGAGCCACGGTTCGCAAGGCCATACGCCAGGCTGGTATTTCTCCGGAGGAGGAGCAGACTCGTCGTGCAGCCGGAGTCTGGGGTGATTGGGAACATGCTTTACGCAAGGATGCTGACGATGACTTGAGCCAACGCATTCACAATGTGCGACTGAGGATGGAGGGTGGTCCGCAGGCGGAGCTTCCTGCGCCGGGTAACACTAAACATACAACGTCGTCCCGTCCGGCTGCACCAGGCAGCAGCGCGACCTACAATTATCCGAGTGTTCCCCGTCAACGGCCTGCTGATATTACCTCCACCTCCGTTCAAAAAGAGCTGCATGGTCTCTTTCCGCCTGCTTCAGGGGTCCCCGCACTGCCACCTAAAGAACTGCCTCAGGACCATGGACTGGACGAAAGGCCAGCGCCTCCGCCTCGTCCGGATATGCGCTCTCCAATTTCCACACCGGCGTTGGCACCGGCAGTTCCTGCCAAGGTACGGCCAAAGTCGGATAGTGAGACGCGCACCGACCTAGATCCGTCCAGCTTCACTTTCAAGCCGTCTGCCTACCTGGAAAATGGCACGCCATTGCGGACTCTGTTCCTCCCGCCCGAGCTACGGACACACTTCCTGTCCCTGGCCGCACCGAATACACAACGCAACCTGGAGACATGTGGGATACTTTGCGGTACATTGATTTCGAATGCCTTGTTCGTATCGCGGCTCTTGATCCCAGAGCAGACCGCCACGTCAGATACGTGTGAGACAGTGAACGAGACAGCTATCTTCGACTATTGTGACTCGGAGGATCTAATGGTGCTGGGCTGGATTCACACACACCCAACCCAGACATGTTTCATGAGCTCACGCGATTTACACACCCATTGTGGATACCAGGTAATGCTTCCGGAAAGCATAGCAATCGTATGCGCGCCGAGTAAGATGCCAGACTGGGGTGTGTTCCGATTGACTGACCCCCCGGGATTGAAGACGGTGCTCAATTGCACGCAGCCGGGCTTGTTCCATCCTCATGGAGAGGCCAATATTTATACTGACGCTCTTCGCCCCGGGCATGTATTCGAAGCCAAGGGCTTGGAGTTCGAGACCGTCGATCTACGTCCCAATGGGTCCAACTTTTAAGATGCATCGTCTAGCGAATAAGCCTATATTGAAGAAGTTTGAGTTTTCAAAGATACATTATTTAGGAGTGTTGTGGTTGGGTGGCGATCGTCGGCCTATAAGATTGAGACCAAGCCCAGATTGGCCAGTTTAGTGTCTTGCAGTGGTTACCCGGGCCCAGCCGACTTGTTGTCATCGAACTCATCCTACATGGGCTCTTACACATGAGCAAGGTGTATACACGATGCCAGCGTCGGATTTACACAACGGCGGTTTTGTCTCGGTTGGGACTCACCACCTTTTCGCCACGCTGAGCGGCATTTCTCGGCCTGCTGGGCACCCGCTCGTGATTTTTATCCCTGGCGCGGGGGATGTGGCTTCGTCCTACTGCGCCGTCGCACGTCGAATCGGCACCTTTGCGACGCTCCTGTTATACGACCGGGGTGGACTAGGCCGCAGCGAAGATGGTCCAGTTTTGGTGCTTCATCGCGCCACTACGGCCGCCCAAGAACTGCACACACTACTTGATCAGGCGCAGCTGTCACCTCCCTACCTTGTCGTCGGACATTCCTATGGCGCGATCATCGCACGCGAATTCCTTCATCTTGATCCTCGAGCAGTGGCTGGTATGGTCCTTGCGGATGGCTCGACGGAACGGCAGCCTGAGCTCTTGCAAGATCCCGAACTTGATATCTCTGCGGTGCGGGGCGGGTTGAAATTTGCACAGGTAACTGGTCTGCGAATCAACGCGCAGTTGTCGCGGGAGGAGTGGCGGACGCGGGCAAAGGATATTGCTCGCGGGCAGGAAACCTGGGCAGCCGAGGCCAATGCTTTAGTAGAGATATGTCAGACACTGGGGGCGAAAGAGCAGTATCGACACCAAGCATTAGGGGAGAAGCCGCTGTCGGTGATTCGGTGTCGTGGGTCGCTGGACTACCGAAGGATCTACGAAGCGGGTGTGGCTGCAGGCAATGGCAGTGAAGCACAGCAGAAAGCATTTGAGCGCCTGCTGGAGCGCTGGGATGGATTGGATCGAGCGATGCAAGAGGACCAGCTGCACTTGTCGAGTCAAAGCCGCCTGGTGTATTTGGAAGACTGTGGGCATCATGTCCATTTGTTGCGACCGGATGTGGTCGCTGACGAAGTACGGTGGGTGCTAGGCATGATCATAGGAGAGCAGAATCGGCGAGTTTAATTTTCATCTGGTACTATTGCGCGTAATGCTGGTGGGAAGTGACTGATGGGGTGATGGTGATGGTGGTGATGATGGTGGTGTTGGTGAGGGTATGTCATGTTGATTTAGACAATCGGATCTGACGGAGGTTTGAGAGTCAACCAGCTGTCTCGCCTTCGCTTGAGAATAGTTCCCTTCATCCATCTACTTCTTTCCACTCAAACCTAGCTGCAACTTGAGCTGGATCATCATCAGATGCTTCATACTTCGTCCGGTGCTTGCCGCGTGGAATAGTAAAAATACACTATTCCTGATCTGGCATCCCCAGGCTTGGCATTGCTTGTCGCATTTCATCTTCTCGTCTTCTCTCTCTTCACTTATCTTTTTCATGACTTGTCCTTTTCTCCCTCTCTCCATCCGACATTGCTATCCTGGCTCAGCCTTGAGACTTAGCATCTCCGAAATCTCTTCGCTCTTCGTGGGGCTACAATAATTTTGCGCTTTCTTCCTACGAAATCGCCTGCCCGCATCGCTCAAGTCGCTTGTCGCTTCCTTGCAGCTAGACGAGTCCCGCTTCGTGCGACCGCCTGAGTGAGTTCGTCCCCTGTTTTTACACCTCGATTCCTCCTACGTGTATGAACCTCGGCGGCTTCAAGCTTCGCTTATGGTCGACAGCTGTCGTCAAGACTGTATGGTGGTCACAGCCGGTGCCCCCGCTTCCCCTGCACGTGCTCCATTTGTCGAAGTGGACGGTATCTGGAGACCGAGATTGCGATGTCATAATGTCGTCTGTACGATGTGGACTGGATGTTACTTCGAGGAGCAGCGAGCTTTGGTCGCCTTTCACAGAGCTATGAAGACCTGTCACTGACCAGGAACAGAAGTCTAAGGGCACTTTCCCATAACTACTACCCTCCGTTATAACTACCGCCCACCATGCCGATGGACGCGAAGGAGATCGAACTCAAGGCCAAGGCTCTGACCAAGGCGGCCACCCAGAACGAGCCCCCCGTCAACATCGTCGCTTTGCTCAAGGAACTACAACAAGGCGTCCGAGCGACGGAGGATCTGCTGCGCTCAACGCGCGTCGGTATCATCGTCAACAAGTTCAAGCAGCACAAGGCGCCCGAGGTGGCGCGCCTGTCGAGCGAGATCGTATCGAAGTGGCGCAACGAGGTCAACAAGCAGAAGGCGGGCGCATCGCCGGGCCCCAGCCAGCGCTCGAGCAGCTCGCCGCGGCCGACCCCGAACGGCACCGCGGCCCCGACACCCTCGGATAAGGCCTCGAAGCTGTCCGTGCCGCCGGACAAGCGCACGTGGAAGGCCGACGGGGTGGACGTGAACCAGACCTCCAACCGGATCCGCGACAGCTGCATCGGCCTGATGTACGACGGGCTGTGCTTGAACGCGACGGAGGCGCCGCGGACGGTGCTGGCCAAGGCCTCGAGCGTGGAGGCGGCGGCGTTCAGCGCCTTCGGGCCGGAGACCAAGGAGCAATACCGCACCAAGATCCGCAGTCTGTACCAGAACCTGAAGAACAAGTCGAACCCGATGCTGCGCGTGCGGGTCCTGAGCGGGGAGGTCACGGCGGAGCACTTTGTCAAGATGACGCACGACGAGCTGCGGTCGGCGGAGCAGCAGGAGCGCGACCGCAAGATCCAGAAGGAGAACATGGACAAGGCGATGGTGGCGCAGGCAGAGCGCAGCATCAGTACCAGTCTGCAGTGTGGAAAGTGTGGACAGCGCAAGGTGACCTATACCGAGGCGCAGACGCGCAGTGCCGATGAACCGATGACGCTGTTCTGTACTTGTATGAATTGTGGAAAATCATGGCGGCAGTGATTCCTTTCTGTATTTTCTCATTCTGATATTGCTTTTTTGTTCTATATCTTATCTGCGACAGGGGGGCGGCGGCGTGGAGTTATTTTACCTTGGGCTGATAAAAAACATGGATGTTTTTCCTGTCGTTATTGACATTCGGTGGCTGCTTATGTCATCGTTCATAACTTGACTGCATAGACTGCACTGGCAATTGCAATCAACGTCATTCACCTTTCATTGAGCTGGAACAAGAAGTAGTGAATTGAAATACTGCTGCGCGTTAGCTCAAAAATCGAATCAAACATCTTTCTCATCATCTTCAACAACTTGAACAAGCTACCCAGCCAGCCTAACATCCAATTGACCCTAAGTTATCCTCCATTCCACATCAGCTACTTACCTACCTTCTTGAACTCTATACCACCTCATCATCAATCAACCATACAGCAACCTCCAAAAACACACCTACACCAAAAATCCAAACCTATACCCCCCCCTCTCTCTCTATCCCCACACAACCCAACCCACCCCAAGATGACCTCACAATCCTCTTCCCCCTGTTCCCAAGAAAAAATTAAGGCAATCCTCCGCAGAACCCACACCTTCCTCACGCACCTCACCACCCAAGCCCCGCTATCGCCGACCCTCCTCTCCAATTTCGCAAAGGACATCAAGATCCACGAGCACGGGCTGCCCACCCTAGCCCCCTTCCTGGGGAGAGACTACGTCGGCCTCGACGCCGCGCAACAGTACTTCGAGTGCATGGGCGCCCACCTCCGGTACGAGGGGATGCGGTTCGAGGATGAGGCGGAGTGGGTGGTGGATGGTGCGCGGGGGGTGGTGGTGGTGCGTGGGTGGGCGAGGTTTTTAGCGAATCGGACGGGGCAGGGGTGGGGGGAGGGGTTTGTTTATCGGTTGCGGTTGGATTCTGAGGATTCTGAAGGGGAGGATGGACAGGAGGGGGAGGTGAAGGTGAAGGAGTATTTTGTCTGGGCGGATACCGGGGCGGCGTATTTGGCTTTGAGGGGGGAGTTGACTGCTTGATTCTTGATGGGTTCTTATAAGGGTTTAAAGGGTTGAGGGGTTGGGTTTGGGATGAGGAGGGATTGTTTCCTATGGTGGAGGGGCCCAGGGGGGTTGTGTGTATGATTTAAAGATTTGGAGGTCTGGAGGTCGATGCAGATTATCAAAGCGCGAGTTTATGGATTGAGTGCGGGAATAAGCACAGCTACTACCTATCAGTCCTTGCCAGCGATATCCCAATCAATCCAAGCGATATTGCCTGCCTCACCCTCCGGTGTCAAGAACACCTTCTCCAGCGAATCGTACCGCTTGTACTCCTGCGCATTCAATAGGACGGCCACCCCGCCCTCCTTCCGGCCAGTGGCATTGAAGCCCGGTCCGTAGGCGCGGTACTCGGCCATCAGCGTCTGGTTGGCCGCCCACCGGTCCTCCCAGTTGATGTAGCCAGACGGCTCGATGCTGCCGTCTTCGTAGCTGTTCACGAAGATGGACCGGTGCAGCGAGTTCCAGGGCCGTCCGAGCGCACATTTGCCCTTGATCTCCGACACCAGGGACGAGTTGGCTGCGTTGACCGTCGAGTCGACGATGTACACGCCGTAGTTGTTCTCGAACGTCGTGTTGGTGCCCTTCCAGGCCGTGATGCCGCCGCCGCACGATCTCAGGAGAATGGAGGACGACTGAATCCAGGCCGTCCCAAAGCCATACAGGAAATCGGTCTGGCCGGCAATGACGGACTTGTGGAAGTAGGCATTGCCGAGTTTGCCAATGTAGACCTGGCCGGCAGCGTTTGTGGGAAGTTCAAAAGCGAGGATGAGGGGTATGAACGTACGGTGTCCTGGTAGGAGTAGAATCCAGAGTAGTAGAACCCTCCGTTGGCACGGCTGAAACTGATCGCATGGGCGGGCCCATCGCTGTACTCTGCCCACAGGTTGCGGAAGTCGATGTTGTACACTCGGAAGTCGGTGTTGCCAAACGGTGTGTCCGCAGGAACAGCAAACCCCGTGGTACCCGACCCAGTCAGACTGGCGTCCAAGGTAGGCGAGACGATCAATACGCTGGAGTAGACGTTGTCCACCGACTGGCCGGTATTGTCCTGGTTGGCAGCAGCCCAGGTGATGGTGACGCGGTTGCGAGTGGGATCGGTGAGAGCGCTGCGATCGGGTTGCTGGCCGAGCAAAGTGACAGGGCCCGGGCGCGTCAGGTTGAGTTGCTCATGGTAGGTTCCTGCAAGCACCAGAATTGTGTGGGAGGAGTTGTCATTGGGGAGGGAGGCAAACGCAGCCTGGATAGACTTGAATTGAGCGGCGGGGTGTGACGAGTTGGACACGATGATCGTGCCCTCAGGGCATTTCAGACTCGTCTGGCATGTCTCCCGAGTAGCTGTCGAGAGACGCGGCTGGAGAGCAGCCGAGTGCACAAGCAGAACGTGCAGAAGAAGCAGAAGACCACGATAGAGAAGCATCGTGACTGTGGGTGCTATCCCTGGATTCGCTGACCCCGGCGGTCCTCTTCACCGCGTCTTATATGCGGAGGCGCAAATCCGGGGTTATAGCAGAACGGGCGCTGTCAAGCTTCGGCGCCGGCTCTACCCCAGAGCACGGCTGGGGAAACCGGAGAAATCAGTCTGGGGACGGAGAATTGGATTCCGCCTGTGAGGATGACCAAGAGGTGGCGGCAGGCGAGTCGAGCATTGCGGTTGGTGGATGAGGTCGTTGGCCGAGTAGCGTGCAGAACAACAAGATTAAGTCAAGTGAAAATGAGCTCATGCGTGCACCAAGTCAATATCGGACATCGGCCTTTGCGGGAGAATCCTTAAGAGTGAGGGGAAACACGGCCTATACATTGCGGGGTTATCGCCTCATCTGGCAATGGTCAATTGCCCAGGAGCAGTCGCAATCAAGTTGATACATCGTGGAGAATCGCCCCTTTCAGTTCAATGACAAGAACGGGGGTTTTGTGGCGGTCGTCTCATTATTATTGAGTCTTGAAGACCCTCACTTGTGAGTAGCTCTCGGTCGACAGCTCACACTCATCAGAAATGCATCAACCCATGGTCAATATCTATTATACCAGGTCCTCATGATCGACTGCGAGTGCAGTCGCAGTCACACTCAATAAGACCAACAATGGCAGTGGAAAGTGGCCACTGGTTTTCAGAGTGCGCACAAGACAAGGCGTTGTACCACAGGAGGACATCCAATACCGTATATGTCGAGCAGGTATATTGCTGACGTTGGTTTGTGAGCCTACCTCAAGTCAAAATGCATGAAGAATCGTGCTATGGAGGTAACGCCTATCCAAACTGGAAGCAGAAAGTGTGTGTGGTGCTGTAAAGTTAAGCAATGGGGATTTGATGAAGTCAAAACAATCAATTTCAGCCTAAGGCACCCAGAACGTCAGCTGGTGGTAATGTGACTGCCAGCCAGAAGCCTCACAATCTCTCGTCAGCGCAATTGCATTGTTTCAAGACACTTCAAATCTCTACCATTCCCCTCATTTGAACACAAGTGCAGGCTCGATCCCGGACGAAGCGACGACCTTGAAACAGCACGCCAAGATGGTGCACCCAAACCTCGTAGAAGTCGACTCCCTCGAGGCTATCCTCCTAATCGACAATGATCTCGACCCGATGTCGACCATTGCGCCCGATACAGTTCAGGTCTCAGGCCTTATGCGTACGCTAGCCACACAATCCCCGCACGAGATCTCGGATCGCGGGGATGCACACAAGGAGCTCCAGATGGAAGATGTTTGCTGTGCTGCGCATGGTCTGTCCATTCTTGTTGTATGCCTGACGTCTCTTCAATAGTAACCTAGATCCACAGAGAAGAGACAATGACTGACCGCGAAACAGAAAGCTACTAAGGACGGCAAAAGCCATACCCTGGTGTTTGACGCGGGACCCGAAGGTAGTGTATGGGAGCGCAACGTCAAGAGACTACGACAAGACTTGTCTTCCGTGGAATTGGTCCAGTTATCGCACTGGCATCGGGATCACTCAGGTTCTCAAAATCTCTCCGATAGTCTAGCGCAGAGTTGCTAACGGTATCAGGGGGCATGACTCGAGCTATCCAGATGATCACAGAGGCTCGGCAAGCACATGGTACTGCAGGCGAACTGATCATCGACCTGCATCCAGATCGTCCAGATTACCGAGGCATGGCCATAGGGGACGACATCATCTCCCTTCAGGCTGATCCAACGTTCGAGGAACTGCAAGCAGCGGGCGGGACCATCGATAAGCGAGCTGAAGGACATACAGTTCTCGACGATTACTTCTTCATCTCAGGGGAGATACCCCGGCGGACCTCCTACGAGACGGGCTTGAGAGGCGGTATGCGGTTCAGTGCTGAGGAGAACGACTGGTTCTCCGATGAGGTCATCGCTGACGAACGGTTCTTGATGTGTAACCTAAAGGGTGAGTGTCCTTTTCTCATGCTTGGGAACTCGTATGCTCACTGAACCAGGGAGAGGAATCGTCATGTTCACCGCGTGCAGCCACGCGGGGGTCGTCAACTGTGCACGACATGCGGTTGAAATCCTCGGCGGCTCCGTGCCTCTCCATGCGGTCATCGGGGGTTTCCATCTCGCGACTAGCGAGGCAACACAGACAGAGAGTACCGTCAAGGATCTGAAGAAACTCGATCCAGCCGTTGTGCTGCCTGGACATTGCTCGGGATGGAGGGCCAAATTTGCGATTGAGAGACATATGCCTGGCACGCTGGTTCCGTGTTCTGTAGGGATGAGAATCTCGTTCTGATATATACCTACAAGACCTCAGTCTCATGCATGCCCTGTTCGTGCTTTTATCCTTAGGTTGAGGATGTTGCCATAGCTGTGATATGTGAATCACACCAAGACGCAGACTCAGGTCAAGCTTCAATATATACCATTTCACTAGGTCAAGCCGACGCTGCTGTATACCAGTACCTAGCCAGTGCAGATGCGAAACAAGAATCAGAGGAATTGGTCTATTCTCGCTGATGAAATGAAAGGTTCGGAATGAGCTAGATAGACAGACTCGCCCATATTGTTCTTTTCAATGATTATCCAGGTTCGGCCAGCCACTGGAATTAGAGCGCGTGTTGCTGTCCACGGCCGTGTAAATATACAAAATCCATCGAAGCACATGCATCTGCCAAATATCCTACACAGAACTCACATAAAATGGCCCATTCCGCTTGTTTTACACCCTTAGCCATGCTCAGCTAAATATACTAAACAAGATCACATACTTCAATCCGCATGATTCTTTACCGCGCATACACACCTACTCCCCCAACCATACCACAGACCACCAACACACCTATGGATACCATCAGTCCCCAGTACCCTCCATCTAAACTTCGACTTCACTACCCAAAAAGCTCAATATACTGCCAATTCCACTAACAACGAGCCAGCCCAAGCTCCACAACCACACCCTCCATACCAATCCCAACCCCAGCTATATCTAAGACATAGCACTCGCATTCAACATTCCAGATAACATCATCCACGCCCCACAGTAACAAGGCAAGCATTTGACACAGCCCGGATTCTAGGCCCAGACGTCAACGTGCCCTGGATTTCTCTTTCTTTGGCTATGGGGAGTAGTTGGCTCGGGAACTGCGCCTTCAAGCCTACATACCAAGCCAAAGCGTCCGTCGACCCAGCAATTTTGATGTTGATTGCCTCCGCAGCAAGCCATGATGAGGATAGAGCTGTATGTACATGGTGGATAGATATCGACGCCTCTTGCTTATGCATCTATGCTCATAGCTCCATAAGTCACTTGACCACCAAAAAAGGCAGGGCATATACCCCGAAACATGATAGCGAAGATCACACTTTACAACAATCATACCTACAGCACTAACTGACTAACAAACAATTCCCCCTCTTCCTTTCCCTTCTTTCCAAACCCCGTAACAAGAGCAACCCCTCGATCAGGAATTGCTTTCATCATGTTGCTCCAAGTCCTCCACCGCAGTGTACATCTAAGACTACTGTACTGTACCTTGTACATTCAGCACCTACCA